TCCTATAAATCTAATAATGTGATTTAACATGTTCCACAAACCGTCTAACGTGAACTAATGTAAACTGGCCTGTTAACCTAGTAATGTTAAGTAAACATATCCCATAAACTTAGTAATGTGAAGTAAGCATGTCCCATACATTTAGTAATGTGAAGTAAGCATGTCCCATACACTAAGTAATGTGAAGTGAGTATGTCCCATACACTTAGTAATGTGAAGTGAGTATGTCCCATACACTTAGTAATGTGAAAGAAGTAATCATAAAGCACAAATATAAGTAAAATTAATCTTTCTACATTGATGTGACCACAGGTCGCCACGTGCAAGTAAAGGACCACCACGTGTTGCCACGTGAAACTAACCCGTGGTATAAGAAAAGACTCAATTCTGATCAAGTTAGTATGTGTTGAAATGTTGGAGTGAAAGGACGGGAGTTTGATGGTAAGAATGTCAATGTGAGATTGCATGTTGTGAAAGGAGAACCAGACGATGACATGTGAAGCCAGGAGTCTGTGTAATGTCCAGAAGATCAACCAGCTCCATCGGTGCAGACTGGTCAGTGACTGCGTGAGGAACCTGCTTGTTGAAGTCTGCGTGATGTGGTGTGCGAAAACTGTTTCTTAGGACAACGACTGGACGCTAACGTAAGTTATAACATGTCAATAAACTGATGTTTCGTACGGCTAAGTTGGTGTCGGCTTGTACCAGTTATGTCAACGTAGAATGTGTGATAAGAACATTCACGACACACATATAAACACCCACTAGACAACGAGACAGCTCATTGCAATTGGGTGCTCGTAAATGGAAGTAACCGGGCATAAACAGGACAGCAACAGCAAAATGATATCATGAACTGTCACTTGCCACGCAGATGCTGAATGCCGTTAGAAGTCTGAGGCATAAAATACAGTTGCTGAAGACGGACATGTAATAGACGAAGTCTGCTGAGAGAGCACAGTTTTTGAAATCATCTAGAAATTACATCAGTTGCACCGTCACAGCCGAGTAATTGAGAGTTTAGACAACAGAGCAACAGAAAGGCGATCCCAGAAACTGTCACGTACATGTAGATGTAGATTCCATTGAAAGTCGGAGGCATAGAACACAGTTGCGGAAGACAGACATGTAAGAGGCGATATCTTGTGAAACGTATAGTTACTGGAATCACCGACAAGTTGCGACACAAATTCAACCTGTAACATGCCTGAGAATGGGCCATTGCTTCACGTGTGTGAAAGGTTAAAGGACACTTAAACTGCCCAGGGTTACGTGGCACTTTGCGCCGTTCTTAAACTTAGTAATGTGAAGTAAGCATGTCCCATACACTTAGTAATGTGAAGTAAGCATGTCTCATAAACTTAGTAATGTGAAGTAAGTATGTCCCATACACTTAGTAATGTGAAGTAAGCATGTCTCATAAACTTAGTAATGTGAAGTAAGTATGTCCCATACACTTAGTAATGTGAAGTAAGCATGTCTCATAAACTTAGTAATGTGAAGTAAGCATGTCTCATAAACTTAGTAATGTGAAGTAAGCATGTCCCATACACTTAGTAAAGTAATCATATCCTACACAATTAGTAATGTGAAGTAAGCATGTCCCATACACTTAGTAATGTGAAGTAAGCATGTCCCATACACTTAGTAAAGTAATCATGTTCCATACACTTAGTAAAGTAATCATGTCCTACACAATTAGTAATGTGAAGTAAGCATGTCCCATACACTTAGTAATGTGAAGTAAGCATGTCCCATACACTTAGTAATGTGAAGTAATCATGTCCCATACACTTAGTAATGTATTGTAATCATGGACCATACACTTAGTAATGTAAAGTAAGCATGTCCCATACACTTATTAATGTAAAGTAAGCATGCCCCATACACTTATTAATGTTAAGTAAGTTATGTCCTATACACTTAGTAATGTGAAGTAATAGAGCCCGATAAACTTAGTAATGTGAAGTTATCAAGTCTCATAAACTTAGCAATGTGAGGTAATCAAATCCCATAAAACTTAGTAATGTCAAGTAAGTTATGTCCCATAAACTTAGTAATGTTATTAAGCATGTTGCATAAACTCGCTTCTCTCTGCCTTTTGGCTAAGATCAAAGTGTAGCTTTGCGGCACTGGATTGGTCACAACTAAGTCACGGACGAAACCCAAACAGCAAGCCATCTAAAAAAATATGTCAGAACTGACTGAAAGTAAACGAGACAGAAGGGATCTGAAGGGTAAATGTTCACACATACTAGGCCGCAGAATGATGCAGTGTAGTGTCCATTTCCATTTGTCTCAGATAATTTATGAAAATGTATCTTTAGAGGCCTGGCAGAAGAGTGGTCAGTGCCCTTGTTTGACATAACCGTAAGGTAACGGCCATTTCTTTCTGCCTGCAAAGTTCTGGTTTCAACCAGCTGATCGCTGACGCTTCCACATATGTAAGTAATCTACTAGTTTACAATTCGGCCAAACGTAGATTACTCTGATATGCGGAAGCGTCTATCAGCCGGTTGAAACCAGAACTTTGCAGGCACAAAGAAATGGTCATTACTTTACGGTTACCTTGGTGAAACAGACAGTTCATGTATGTTGTCGAATTTGTGTTTCAGTTTCTAGGATTCAGCTATTTGCTTTCTTTTAATCAATTATTTTATAGACCAATCAGCATTTGGTGGGTGATGTGGTCAACATCACGCCGACCGCCTTTACTTTCCAGGATAGCACCTGGTACCCACTCAAGGCTGGGTCGACCTGGAAGCCAAGGATATTTTTAAAAAAAAGTCTGGCTCAGCCAAGACTCGAACCCACAACCTTCTGATCCGCAGGTGAACCTCTAGCCATTACACCACAACCACTCCCAACCATGGTTACTGACATGAAATATTCTAGGGCTGTACATTTTTTGGCCAAGTACCTGCTTGATTATATTTGTTGTAACAGGTTCTTGTACTTCTTTTCAAATATTGCAGCCTTGTTGTAAATAGGCAGTGCATGAATGCAGAAGAAGAAGAAATTCATTCCCTAACTATCCAAATGGCATTATGCAATTTACCATATGAATTGATTTGGACAGTTGTCCAATGAACCCGTCTTGTATGGTGAGGATTATAATGGGAGTTCGAAAGCAAAGTCGTCAGGTCGGTGACCTTTTACTATTAACCTTTTTTAACCTCAGAAGCCTAAATCTGGTCACTTCTAGTTGTGCCACAACCAGGTAAATGTCTATATCTGGCCACTTCTTCAGTGAGCTTTCAGTGGTTTTAAAATGAGAAGGCCACAGGCCAAATTTAGTTTACTGCTGATGAATGCTAAGAAGACGATCTTATATTTCACTTTACCAAAAACAAAGCCACACAAGCTATCTCGGAGTCTGCCCATAAAACATCCATACACACTATCTGAGAGTCTGCCCATAAAACATCCATACACACTATCTGAGAGTCTGCGCATAAAACAATCACATTCCAAATCTGAGAGTCTGCTCCCAAAAACAACCACACACGCTATCCGAGAGTCGACTAACAAAAACATCCGCACAAGCTAGCTCAGTCTGCTCACAAAAATAACCACAAAAGCTATCTGAAAGTCTCAGCATGTTCTCAATCACAGCAATACCCATTAGAATAAAAACTTCTTGTGCAGTTATTAACCATCGGCATCATGTAGCAAGTCTTTTGCACAACATTACCACACACCCTAAAGCCATTCAATATCCTGCCAGCTTTCCTGCCTCATAAACTTTCATGCCAAGCTGTCTTTAATATCCTGTATCCATTGTCTTTTGAAATAATCGAAGAAAACATTGAAAGTGTCACAGATTTTTGAATATTTAGGCTCAGTAATAAACAACAATGGTGACTGCACAAAAGAAGTCAGAATAAGACTTACTTTAGCAATGAGGAGGTTAAAAAGCATGAAGAACCTATGACATTGCACCTGCAAGTGACTTAACGTGAACATTTTGAGATCAGGCATTTTTTCTGTGGCAACTTATGGATGTCAGTCATGGACCCTCACTTAGTCTTTGAGAAAAAAAATTGCAGCTTTAGAAATGGAATGCTACAGAAAGGTTCTTAGAATATTATGGACCAAATAAACGTCCTGAACATCGAGGAGAACTGGCTTGTAAACAGCATCATCTCCCAAAAGTTGGGGTATTTTGGACATGTCATGGTGGTCTGGAGAGAATGGTGATGCAGGGTGCAGTTGCTGGAAAACGAGGTAGAGGTTGATCTCTGCAAAAGTGGATACAGGACACTGAAGATGCACTGGCTGTGAAGGCACACAGGGCTAGAGAATTGGCTAGATAAAGAGAGACCTTTAGGCGTGCCGTGAAGAGAGCAACGTTCTGTAAAGGACATGCTGACTGATGATGATCCACTCTCATGCTGGTCATCCTCTGCCTCTTTTACCAGAAACCATACCCTCATTTACTGTACTCTCCAAACCACTGTAGCATATAATAATAATAACAACTACAGATATAACTAAAACAGTGAAAATCAGAATGTTAGCTTTCGAGCAGACTGATTTATGGGTATGGAACCTACCTTCAACCTCAAATAATGTCTGTTCAACATCAGTTATAACACCCATCAATTTTCTGGTAGTGGACCAAAGACCTAGCCTCAGATCAGGATGAACACATTAAAAGATCTCTCACAGCTGGAAAATGTAAATAATAAGTGAAATATGATGTCCACCTTGCTTTTTTCTCTCAGTGCTGAGTGTCTGTCAGATCCCAAGGTTTCTCCTTGTGGCTTCATTCTGTTCAGACTGTGATGTTCTATCTGTGCCTTCGCACTGTTCACTCACTCCAATTAGGCCTTGATAACATCAAGTGGTGCAGACCCAGCCAATCTCTCTATCTGTTCATTTTCCAAAACACCTGCATACCCTGGAGAAAATATCCAGAGGATGCCAACTGCTCAGAAGGTAAATAACAGCAATGACATGAAACAACTGCAAAGTCTGGTTTAAAACGACCACAGCTGTCAATGTTTATGTCCAACAGCTATTATCAATGGTAACAATGCACCAATAACTAAAACAAGAAGCTCCGTCTTCCTAAACCCTTTGTGCTCCCTTATGACCACAGTCCCATCTGCAGACTTGTGCTGTATGTGAGTGATAGAAATTTCTGGAAGAACATGAACTGTGGCCACATAGAGAAATGTCCCAGCGCTGAACAACATTGCAATCCCTGTAGTCTGTATCCCTGACAAGGCCTCTTTGTTTTGCTGAAAGAGAGGCAAAACAGAAGAAAATATGAGGTAGCTTAAAGATATTTGTGTGTGAGCATGCGTGTGGTTACAATATACTGTTTGTAGCTCTATGTATGTGTGTATGTGCATGTGTTTATTATCTATATTTATGTGTGGTTGTTTTATGTATCTATGTGTGTTTGTAATATGGATGTATTTAGTGTGTGTGTGGGTGTATATACATAGTACAAGTGCATATGTACTGTAAGTATAGCTGCTTTATGTAGGTATTATTTGTATGCACAGCTGTGTTATGTAAGCATACATTGGGAAGATGATGGATAAAAAGGGTGTTTTACTGAAGATTACAGACAGAAACAGTGTTTAACTGAAAGATTATGAAGATAAACAGAGTTTAACTGACAGACTATTGACATAAACAGTGTTTAACTAAAAGATTATGAAGATAAACAGTGTTTAACTGACAGACTCCTAACATTAACAGTGTTTAACCGAAAGAATATGAATATAAACATTATTTAACTAAAAAATTATGGCCATAAATATTGTTTAACTGAAACATTAAACACAGAAGGAAACAGACATCCTTACCTGACTGAGAGCGATGTAAGTTATAACAGCTAACAAAGGCGCCGCCACAGAAAACACGGCCAAGTGCTTGCGTATTCTTGTACGGTCAAGGCCTTCATGAAGTAGAAACGAAACCAAACCAAAAGCAGCTGGAGCCTGAAAATACAAAAGCAATAAATATGCTGTCTCATAATTCTCAAAGATTTAAAGCTGTGAGTATTAACTTCATTTCACTGCATGTGGTGTTATGCTAAAGGGCTCCCAAAAAGACTCAATTTCTTTCTGCAGAGCTTTGCATACAGCATGAACCTCACAGCTCCTGCGATGAGCTCTTGGGATATTGGAAAATAAACCCAGGACCTTAACACTTTTGCCCTAGGAATGCTTTAAAAAAATGGGGGGAAAGGAGGGGGGGGGGGGGGGGGGGGGGTACTGAACCGGTGAGAATTTATAGAAAAATTCCTTTAAAAAAAAACCATATTACACAGGTCACTTCCCCGTGTGGGTTCCGGGGTCCCACTGTAGGGAAAACAAGAATAGGTCCACTGCCTCCCCAACAAGCATGTCATAAGAGTAGACTAATTAGGAGCTTCCTTCGAAGTTGGAGTGCATCTGTCTGAGAGGCAAGGAACCAACAGTCTGCATACAAATAGGCAAGATCTAAAAAATGGATGCACACGCAAAAGCTCAGGTCCAGGAACAAAGCCAAAGTCCAGAAATGGACGAAAAACCAGGTCTGTCCACCGAGGTTTACAGCAGGTGAATGCAAACAACAACACAGGTCACTAACAAAGGTCACTAACAAAGGTTACCCAAAAACATGTATTTATCTACATGTTTAAATTTTTTCTTTAAACTATGCAAAGATATATAAAAGAGTAATAAATAAACATGATCACAGTGAGGCATTAAATAAAATATATTCCCTGGGATGTAGGAAAACAAAATGTATCAGGTGACACATGCCGTGACCTCTATCACTGAGGCTTATGGGAAAACGGTATATCAATTTGAGTATTAAAAAGCCACTGAGGTCATAAGGAAGCTCTCCTAAATGCTTTTCACAGCTACTCAAATCATATCCTGGCCTATTAAACACGGTGCATGTGCATAGTGGACATCCAGAATTTAACTATGCTTTTTGAGAACAGCTCACTGAAGAAATAGCCAGATATGGATGTTTACCTGGTTGTGGCACAACCGGAAGTGACACATTTAGGCTTCTTGGGCTGAAAAGGTTAATAGAAAAAGGTCAGCAACCCGACAACTTCGCTATACAATAAGGCTGCCATATTTGAAAAGAAGTACAACAGCCTGTTAAAAACAAATATACTCAAGGAGGTACTTGGCCCCAAAAAATATAGCTCTAGAATATTTCAAGTCTATAAAAACAGTTATAAACAAAAACAATCAAATACTGAGGTTCTGATATTTGCACTTCTCGGCCGATACATCCGACTTCTGAGGCATTTGTTGTCTGGGTTAGATTTCCCAGAGTGAATGAGTTTAAGTTTTATGATCTTTGAGTACCAGGGATCGATTTTCACTGTGGCCTGTTTATTTTTTTTTTTAAATTCATCATTTTAGGATGCGGTAGCAGAGTTGCACTGTGGAAGAGATTGGGACCTCACCAGAAAATATTCCCAAAGCGAGTCAAGGGTTCGCTGTAGCCCAGCTTTATGGTGGAGACTGCTGACAATTTTATTTATTCATTTTTTTGAAGAGCAGAATGAAAATGGTTTGGAAGTAAAGGACCCTTTTCATATCCAAGTGAAGTAAATGACCCTTTTCACATCCTTGGGCATGCAGCTCTTACCCCTTTTATAGACCTTCTTCTTCTTTCTTTTCATTAGCCAGCTGTAAACTCCAGTGGAATGTCCTGGCTGTTCGTCCACTCCTTTTCTGTCACTTTTTCCTACTTCGTGCCGTGACTAATTTTAACTCATACAAGTTCTAGTAAGCAAATCATACTCCAAACAAAGGTTGCATACCAAGCAAAACTGTTTGTGTCTGAACAGGACTAAACCAAGTTGGACGTATTAGAAATTGGACGTATACCAAGGTACTACTGTCTGTGGACTATCAAACAAAATAACACTGTCACAAAATTTGGTGCCCCACCCTGGAGGAAACCAAGAACAGAGATAAACAAATCAAGAACTGACTTCAGTGGACTTAGGATATTCCCACATGTGCTCTGTCCCCTTAATCAGTAGCCCATAAAGAGTCTGCATACTGATGTTGTCAGTTGTAACCTGATAAATAGTCTGCCTATTTTCCTGTGTGTGGAAAACTGTCCAGATCCTCTGCACACTCCCAGGCAATATGAAATAATACCAGTTACATACCACCAAAAGAAAAAGATCACTAAATTGATCAGAAACCACCAGATCCAGAATAAGATGACTATTCCATTATAGATATATCAGTACAAGTCATTATCCTTCGCCTCACAACAGGGCACAACAGATTACACAACCACATGTAAACAAAGTTCAGGGTAGGGGTTTCTGCCATGTGCACATGTAGAAAGTAGCCCCAGACAGAAGAACATATACTCCAGGACTGCACCAAATTTGACACATTAAGGCAAACCTTTTGGCCAGAAAGAACAACAGTGGAACGTAAACTCTACAGACCATCAATGAACTAAAAAAGACAGTGAAATTTATACGAGAGACAAAATTGCTGATACAGACAACTTAATTCAGGTGAATGAGAAAAGAAAAAGAAGAACAATAATAAATAAAATTCAAGCAGGAAGTAAGTGGCAGCATTACCTTGTGAAGCATGATCGCCACAAAGACTATCATAGTAATGTGGGTTTCTGCTAGAGTAATGGCTGCCCCTAATGCAACTCCATCAGCTGCAAGTTGAAAAGTGAAATCAGCATTAGTACTCCGTTTATCATCTATGTGAACTAACCATACTACTTATTTTCCTGTGTGGGTTCCAGGGCCCATTTTTATGGAGGGTGGACTGGATAGACCCACAGACTGATGTCAGCCTTGTTCCAGAACATGAGTTCTGTGTGCACATCCATTTATCAGATCTGGCTTATTGGTATGTAGTCTATTAGTTCCTCGCCTCTCAGGCAGAGGCACTCTGACTGGGAAGAAAATCCCCTTTTATGACATGCTTTTTTTGAGTGGTTGATGGCGAGGAGCAGTGGGTCTATTCTTTTTCTTCCCCAAAAGAGGGCCCCAGAATTACATGGGAAGGTCAATTCTTCTTTCTTCTGTATCTTCTTCACATTCATTTGTAAACTTTAACGGAAAGTTTTGGTCCTTCATCCACTTCAGGATTTTAGTCTTCTTCCAGAACCTGAGTGTTGCATGCAAATCTGTTTGACAGATCTGGCTTATTTCTATGCAGACTGCTGGTTCCTTGCCTCTCGGGCAGATGCATTCCGACTTCGATGGATGCTCCCAATTAGCTGACTCCTATGACATGGTATGTTCTTTCCTGAATGGACAATAGCACTGCAAATATAGCAGAGTTGTCTTTCTGACTCAGGCTGTCAGTTCTACAAGCAATTGTTAACCTAAAAAACACAGTTTGTAGACTTGATGCAACAGCTGATTCACATGGGCTCTTAAGTGGAACAATCTGTACTGGATTCAAGGTCACTGTGGCTTGAAAGGCAATGAAATAATGGACAGATTGGCGAGAAGTGGCAGTGACATAGTGCAATCAAATAATGACTTAACTCACCAAGAGACTAAGACATTAATGCAATCTAGTATCCAAGAAAGGTGGCTGGATCATCATCATCATCATCAGGTGCCTTGCCGCCTGGCGTGGGACATCATGCCTCTCCACAATTTGCAATCTCCTGCAGCATGTATCAGTTCGTGTGCCGACACACCTCCATGCTATGCAACAAGACTGTCGAGAAACTTTTCTCGTTGTCTTTCTCTATCCCTTTTTCCACAGATCTTTCCAGTGGTCACAACATGTTCTATTTTCCCTCTTCTCATAACATGGCCAAAAAATGATGACTGTCTCCTTCTGATGTCTCTGATAAGTTGTTTTGGAGGACCCGCCTCTTTCAAAACCACTTGGTTGCTCTTTTTGGCTGTCCAAGGTATTCTAAGCATTCTTCTGTAAAACCACATCTCTGAGGCCTCAAGAAATTGTTTAGCCTGCCTACCGATTGTCCAGGATTCACAGTCATATACTAAAACTGGATGTATGTAGCAAGCAAGAATTCTTTTTCTAACTCTCAACGACAAGGATATATTGCACAAGATGTTCTTCATTTTATAAAATGCAGTTTTTGCCTGTCCTATTCTGTTTCTTATCTCAGTTATGGATCTTCCATCTGATGTTATCCATGTGCCCAGATACTTAAATTTCTGTACTTGTCCCAAAATAACACAATTGACTTTTATTACACATTTAGGAATAATTCATTTCTTTGATACCACCATTACTTCTGTCTTCCCATTATTCAAACTGTATTCTTCCACTTTCTAACACCACAATGTCTATCATTTCCTATAGTTCTTTCTGACTTATTGCTATCAAGACTGTCATCAGCATAACGTAAATTGTTTATATTGTGCCCACCAACCATAATTCCGGGCATATCAATTAAAGATCTCATTATATATATTCACTGTATATTGAAAACAAATCAGGTGATAGTACGAAATGAATATGGCATTGAATTATGGTTTGTTTGTACCTTTTTCTTCTACAAATCCACATTGTTTATCGCTGATTTCTGGTTTAATATTGTTTCTTATTCTTCTCATAATTATTCTCAGTAAAATCTTAGTCATGTGACTCATAAGACTGATTGTGTGATGGTCTTCACATTTTAAAGTGCCTGGTTTCTTTGGCAGAGCTATAAATATGGATTTTCAAAGGTCATTTGGAATATACCCACTATTATAAATATCATTTAAAAGTTTAGTTATTATTTCAATTCCAAAATCTCCCAGGGCTCCGATTTCTTCCAGTGAGATGTTGTCTGGCCCGGGTGCTTTTCCTTTCTTCATATGATGTTATTGCATCCTTAACTTCTGCAGACATTATTGGTGGACCATCATTGTTGGTCTGCAGTTCTACATCTGGTCTATTATCATCATAAAGTTCCTCTATATACTCTGTCTATCTGTTAATTATATTACTATGTCCCATTATTAAGTCACCATATTTTGATTTAAACATCCAGTGCTGTTACGTGTCATCTTTCCTGTTAACATATTTATCTGTTGGTACATGGAATGTGAGTCTTTCCTGTGATTTTCCCCAATCTCTGTACACATTTGATTCAGCCAGGCTTCTTTAGCCACTTTGCATTTGTTCACTATTTCTTTTTGTATTCTAGAGTATTCTTCTTTATCATTCTTTTTCTTCCTTCTTTCATCCATCAACTGCAGAATTTCTGTTGACATCCATTTCTTTTTTTGCAACTCTATGGGTTGGTGGGACTGTCTCTTTTGATGTCTGCTGAATTGACTCATGTAACATATCCCACTGTTCATCAATAGTCTGTATAATTTCATATTGCATTATAGCAATTTTGTACAGTGACACTGTACCGTTCCTTAATTTCTCTATCCGTTTTAAGAATTCCTAAATTTAACTTGATATTCTGTGGTGTTTTTCTAATGTTCTTTAGTTTTATTCTAATTTTTCCTACAACTGAAACATGGTCACTAAAGCAGTTTGCTCCTGGTCTAGTTTTTGCTCCGACTAAGCTGCCCCTGAATCTTCTTGAAACCAAAATATAATTAATCTGATTGCGGACATTATCGCCAGGACTTTTCCCAGTCCACAATCTTCAAGGATGGTGTTTAAACCAGGTGTTACCTATTATCATGCTGTGTGACTCAGCCCATGCCATTAATCTGTCACCTCTCACATTCTTTTCTCCTAGGCCATAGCCACCCGTTTATTCCATACACTTTTTTGACTTCCTAATTTCGTGTTGAAATCTCCAAGTACCATTGTTACTTCACAATTTTTGCATTGATCAACAGCCATGTCTAACTCATCATAAAATGTGTCAAATATCTTCCTCTAAACTATCTGCTGTTGGGGCATAAATCTGTACTAAGTTAATGTCAAACGGTCTGCCGCAAAGTTCTACTAATAGTACTCTATCTGATATTGTCCAAAATCCTTTTTTTTTGAGTTCTTTGGATCCAAAAAAATGCCAACTCCCTTACTATATTCCTTCCCACCTGAGTAAATAATTATGTGCTGATCTGAATACTTTTCCCCTGCTCCTAGCCATCACATTTCATTAATTCCTAATATGTTGATGTTCATTCTCTTCATTTCCATCTTGATGTTATCCAGCTTTCCGTTTTGTGCAAATGTTCTGACATTCCATGTACCAATGTTCAGGATGTTTCTAACATTTACTTTTTCTACAGTAGCTAGATGACGGTCGGGTATCAGCTGTAGAACACGATGCTCCCTACCGGACGAGGTGATTCCACTGGAATCTCCCATTCACGTTGTTATCTGAATTCGTAATATTTTGAGGCATGATTTACTAGGGATAATACAGCGGTGGTATCCCCTTGCCTTCCGCACGTTTGTATATGGTATGACTCCAATAGCCTTTGTCTAAAGAGACTTACCCTGCAAGACTGCAAGGGGGAGAGGTTATGGCGCCTCTTACCCGCCAATGGCCATGTCGTAGAGTTTTTAGGTATTTTACAGAGTTAGCTGTCCCACCAACTAACTCGCCTCCTCTCAATGACCATCACCTGTTTTGGTCCACGGCCACTTATTGAATATGTTCGTGGCTAACTATATCTAGAGACCTTTCCACCATCTGCCACCTGGTGGACGCGCCTAGTAGTAGGATAGGCTCCTACCCCAGGTGGCTGGATACACATTTTCTCAAGATTCGCTTTATCGTCTCTAGAGAGAAGCAGTGTGTTATATTCAGACCAATGACAAGGAACAAAAGACTTCTTCAACATATGTTCAAATGTTTTGGTGTAGGAAATACGGAGATGTCTCTCTGCAGCTTGGCACGGGAAAATGCTGAGCATGTAAGAGATGTTGCATCATGGCATGAAAGAACATCTCACCAGGAATAAGTGACAGCAGATGAGGCAAACGGCTGTGGGCAGACATGACTACCAACTCCAGAGGGCATGAAAGAAGATATGTACCAGAAATCATCCATGTTTCCCCTTATAGGGCAATTGCCAGGTTGTGATTTACAGGTATGTTGTGATATCTGTACCTATCAACACTACACATCTGATTATGCCAAACCATTAAATAGTCAATTTTAACTCTTTGTGGACGTATCACCACTTTAGTGGCATCTGAATCCATCACATTTAGACAGGTAACCGCTTAAGTGGTGCCGGGCATAAAAACTTTGTTTCATTTCATAGGAAAATAATTTGGTAAGAACATGTTATGAAAAACTAGAATTAGCTAAAAGAAATTTTTCATTTTCGAAGCTTGTCATAGGGACTGGATTACTTTCTGATTTGTTTTAAATTAAATCAGTCCGATACAGTTTTTTGTGGAATTTTCCTGACCACATGGTCCTGAACATACTGCTTTTTCTTTGATGTTGGATCTGAGCCAGATAGTGAGAAAAGCCTTGATATTATGATTAATAATTCAAGTGGGATATCTACTGCCAACAACATGGGTGGGGATGAAGTTGAACAAAATGTTTCAATTTGATTGTCCCTGTTTCGATCAGCTGTATCTGAAATTTGTTTGTTGTGAAATTTGGCATGTCACACAAAAACTGTCCTAAAATGTAAAGTATTCAGATTAATTGTCTCTAATAAAAACTAGCTGTTGCATAACTGAATAAAGAAGGCAGGTGACTTTTTAGAAATGGATATTAGTGTTGCTGATCAAGTAAAAAAAAAAAAGTAAAGTAAGTACAAACTTCACATGTAAAAAATCTTCATATGTGTCCAACATCCTTTAAAGTGGTGTCATTTTAATAATTTATTATTGCAATACTTATCTTTAAATAGTTTACATGTATTCTGCTTTCATTTCTTTCTCATTTGATACATTATGTGTCCCTATACAGTCAATACTTTTCTCTAGAAAGGTTTTAGCTTTGTTATGTTGCAGTAAAACAATCCAGCTCAAAATTCATTTTGTACAAATGCCAGAAAAAAAAAATGCTGCCCTGAAAGCGTCAAGACATGCCTTATAAGGGCTCCGTAAAACAGGGCCCTGGAACCCATACATGGAGTATCTGAAGTGACTCACAGTACACAAGACATCAGGCTGTTGACAGACATGGTTACAAAGGCCAAACATCATGGATAATAAGAAACACCCCCGTGTGGGTTCCGGGGCCCCATTGTGGGAAAAACAAGAATAGACCCCCTGCCTCCCCAAAAGCATGTCATAAGAGTCGACTAATTTGGGAGCTTCCTTTGAAGTCGGAGTGCATCTGTCGGAGAGGCAAGGAACTAACAGTCTGTATTCAAGAGAATGAGATCTGTAAAACTGATGCACACTCAACGCTCAGGTTCTGGAGCAGGACTGCAGTTCAGTAGTGGACGAGCAACCAGAACTTTCCGCCAGAGTGTACAGCTGGTGAACGCGAAGAAGAGGAAGAATAAGAAACAGAAGAAAGTACAAACCTGCAGCATGGACCACAAGTCCTAAAGTAGCCGTGATTTTATGTCTATTCTGAGTATGCCCCGCAGATTCTGCATCCGTGGGCACTGAATGAGCATGCATGCTTCCCCCCAGCTGATCCACCAAAAGCATGAAGATGAATCCTGTAACTAGGCTAATGCCAATGGTGGAATGTTTCTCCAGCATGTCCGAATGGTGCTCATGCTCTGTATGCTTATGCTCCTCTGGAGCTTCTTTATTTGTGTCTGCTACTTCTTTGATGACTGAAACTGCTGGAGCATCTGGGACTTCCACGCTTTTGAGCACCTTGAGCTCAATGTCGTGACCTAGCAAGATAGGAACACGTCAATAACTGACCTTAAATATGGTTGAATACAAACAGTGTGGGTTCCTTGTGCGGATTCCAAGCCCCATTGTGGGGGAAAAAATAATACACCCCCTGCCCCTCTAAAAAGCATGTCATAAGAGCCGACTATTAAATATTTTTTTTTTTTTTGAAAGTCAGAGTTCATCTGCCCGAGAGGTGAGGAACCAACAATCTGCATGCAAATATAATGGATGTGCACGCAAAACTCAAGTTCTGGAACAAGAGTAAAGTACAGAAGTGGACAAACAACCAGAGCTTTCCGCCCGAGTTTACAGTCGGTGAACACCAAAAAGAAACACTCTGGGTGTTTTATTGTCTGTGCGAGGTGGGGGTGGGATGGGGGGGGGGGAACTTCATGAATAAAGTAATTTTAAAAAAAGCCTTAAAAAACTCTCAAGTCTTGGTCACACTTTGAGACACTGGTTGCCAATTAGATAAGATCTGTAGACCCCTTTTCTTCTGAAGTTTTGCGACCCCATAATTTTGAACAGTTATACCAAAGAACGGGAGCAGCAGTGGTGTAGCGGATAAACGTTCACCATGGATCCGAATGTCATGGGTTTAGGTCCTGACAGAGCCGCACTTTTTTTTCCAAAAATGACCTTAGCTCCCAGGTCGACTCAGCCTTAAATAGGTACCAGGTAAAGTCCTGGAGAGTAAAGGTAGCCTGCGTGATGATGATCACATCAGCTACTGAGTGCCGACTGGTCTTTAAAATAGAGTTCCAATCCTATATGCCTAACATGCCTGAAGGTGTTGAAAAGGGTCCTTTACTTCTACCAAAGAACTGACAATAATTTACAAATATGAAAATCACATAATGGTATGCATTCTTCCTGTGGGGATGATAAAGAATAGACCCATTGCCACCCTAATAAGCATGTCATAGGAGTTGACTAATTATGGGGGTTCCCTTCAAAGTCATAGTGCATCTGCTTGAGAGGCATGAAGCAACAGTCTTCATACAAATAGGCCACACCTGTAAAACAGATGTGGATGGCAAGACTTAAGTTCTGGACCAAGGTCCAGATTTTGACAAAAAAAATAGAAATTTTTCCGGAGTTTATAGCCAGTAAACCGTAAGAAGAGGAAGACAAAGAATGTGTTCTAATATTGAGGAGTTTTGTGTTTTTGTGTGTAAATGATATCATGAACCCCTTGAATTTGTACTGTAGCCCACCAAAGAAAGACTGATCTCAGATATTAAGGGAAAACAATTAAAGAAAAGGAGTAATAAATGGGATAATACTAGAGAGAAAAAAGGATGGCATGGTAGAACACAGATAGCATTTATAAAACAGTCAATTTTAAATCGATCAATGTAGAATACATGGGATAAAAGAGAGCTGCAAAAGACAAACAAATATTGAATGGAATGATCTGGAATCTTTATCAGATAATTGCAGTTCTAGCTATATAGTCCAAAGTTGCTCCATTCCTGTGCCAACGAAAACCACAAAGCAAATCCATTACTATTCCTTACGAAACAAATGGACATAGACTGCAGTTTTAGCAAATACAACACCATACACGTTGATTAAATGCACATAAAGCAGCAGTCAGAAGTGCCAACACAAACAGTCTGACACTAGAAATGCAGTTTATTGTCAGTGAAAGCAGCAGTTACAAAAGATCAGTAGTTGCACATGCAATTAACTCCATAGGCCACCAACAGTTCTCTGGCAACAGGCCATTTTCAAAAACTGCACTTCAGCAGTTCACAATGCAACTATGATAGGCAGAATTGAAAAGCATTCCAAATGAAATCTGCAGCTTACAGGCCATGCACTCAACTCAGTAGCTGAGTGACGGAACTATATACTTTTAGTCTACACATAGTGGAAAATGTAACAGCTAACTATTGTCAAAATTATGGCTAAAACAGTAGACCTGTCTGTACGTTTTAGTGACCAGACAAGGAATCTTTATGGCTACACCAAGTGCTGAAATGATGATGAATTATTAGCACTCACTTTTAGCACTAGAGTACAAGGCATGAACTCCTTCAGGAACTATAACTGCCAATGCTGTTCCTACCAGAAGCCCTGCACCCAATACAGTTACTAATTTCAACTTTTCCTGCAACAGTGAGAAGGTTATAGTAATTAATACTATTTTCAATTCTTAAAATTTAGCAAACATAATGTAGTTATAACAGGCAGACTGTCAAATACACCTTTCAGGATTTTCAAAGTAACAAAGATGTACCTAAGGTAGACTGGCATCTGTGGCTTTGCAATCTTGGCACACAGGAATTTTTAAGGCAATTTGGTAGCAAACTGTTTTGTGTTACTTTGGACAATGATGTCAGTGCTGTACTTGTAGAAAACACGGGGATATGCATTAAAAATATACTATGTTGGGTTTTATTAATTTTCAGCTATCATGTTTTATTAACTTCTAGCTATCAGGAAGCTGTTGTTGCAGTGTCCACCTCCAGTCGTATGCTGGATATTGTGAAGGCACATTCTTGGCTATTTATTCTTCAAACTTCCCTCTTCCTTTGCAATGAAACCAAACTGACTCTTTTCACTTGTCACCACAAATACACCCAACTCCTGGGCATGTCATTTATCAACAATTCCAGAGATGCCTCTGTATTACCCACTGCCAGCTGGACTTATTTTGAAGCACATAACAACAAACTTAAGCACACCAGAGTGGTCTGAAGTTGGAGCTAGTCAGAACCTGAATACACAGCATTCCTATCAGTTTTATAGGACACTACTTGTCTATATCACCAGAACTGAACTGTCCTTGCAACCATGCCCTGTTATGTAACAGTTTCGATATAATAGTACCTTGGTATACGTTCGTTCTGGTATACGTTCAACTTGGTATATATCCTGTGTAGACCTGAAAACCTTTGCTTGATATACGTCATTTGTTTGGAATATAAACTTGTATTTGTCTAAATTAGTCATGAATCACGACAGTGCTAGTTTTGTTTACCTATCTCAAGACAAAGCCATAGATACATGTCAATGACTTAGCAAAGAAGTATTACCCCATCAAAGGTAGAACAAGTGATAACAGCATTGTCTGGAATGACCAGACAATATCATATTTTTGAAACAAAGTGGGGAAAAGGCAGAAGTGAAGTTCTTTGGGTAGATTTTTAGTAAAAGTCACATCTGATGAGCCTCAACCAAATCCAAGTAGTGAAAAGAGAGGGCAAAAGGAGAGAAAGAAAAAAAAACACAAGAATTTCAGACTTCTGAAGAAATGAGCTTGCAGAGGGAAAAGATATACTAATCTTTTTACAGGAACTCTAGTGTTGTTGTTTTTTTTAAAACCACATGTGTGAGGTTAGGTGTATTTATCCGAGGACTCGTGGTGAGTGTGGGCTGTATGTGAAGAGTACGACAAAGGATAGGATGATCTGGTGTTAGATGGTTGAGGGCTTATGCTCCACTGGGGGACATAAGGGCAGAAGAAGGTAGTCTATCCACGATCCAAGTATGTGAAGCCTCCTTCGAAGTGTAAAACATATTCAGTAGCATCAATATCTCTAGAGTCAAATAATACTGAGTTCTATGAGGTACCAGTTGATGACAGTGTATGTCAGCTTGTTGTATGAATTTTGTTTTATTTATTCTAATTGTAGAAATGCATCTGTACACACACAAAACTGGGTTCTCCTTTAAATAACGGTCGCTAGTTGGACGTCGACGGCTGCTTAGTCGGAGTTCACTCCCCTGGCTGCAGTGCAAATACGGAGTGGACAAGTCACGAATCAAAAAACAAAGTGAGGTCAACATGGCTGGTAGACCTAGCCGCGCGCTATTGCCATCATATTTAGCAGAATTCCAATGGCGCGACTCCCACAAGCAGCACATTGTCGGCCAGTATTTGTAACTCCTGCGTCAAAATTTTCACATATAACGGCCGTTATTATGGGTAAGTACTCGATGCTACATGTGTTACCATAACCCTACCCCCTAACCCTACCCCGAATCCTAAGCCTAGGATGACAGGTAAGTATGTCATTTGTTTAGTTCCCTCTTTTCCACTCCGTAATTGCACTGTAGCCAGGGGAGTGAACTCCGACTAAGCGGCCGTCGCCTTCCAGCTAGCGACCGTTATTTAAAGGAGAGCCCAAAACACACATTTGAATGGGACAATACCTCAGAAAGAGACACTGTAAGAGGAATCATCCCTGCTAGGTAACAACCTATTAACATAGCCAAGGATAAACCCAGAAGTGTTAATATATCATCCATCTTGCCAAAGTTATGCAGCCGACTAAAAGGCTTCAGAAACGGCAGGTGGCTGGGAATCTAGCAGACAAGATACGGTAAATCTCCACGTAGATACAACTACATGTTAGCTACACACAACTGGAACCAGAAGGCCGCAGCCAACAACAACATCCGCCAGCTTCCATATACAGTTGGTGTCCAAATAGACGTTATTTTAAAAATTAAAATCATCAATCCTTAAGTTCTTCTATTCTGTCTGGCCGCATAGGACTGCCAGTTACTCTTGGCTGCTGAAGCTATTACGGGTGCCATAATTGTAACTTCTTTGGAAGTTGAATGGGGTATCTTTCCACTGTGGTTCCGAGGCCCCGTGTGGGGGGGGTGGATAGACTCATTGCCTTCCCAACAAGACGTACAAGATGACTATTTATGGGAGTTTCCTTCAAATGCATCTGCCTGATAGGCGAAACAGATTTGCTAAACGGATGTGCACGCAAAACACACGCTCTGGAACGACACTAAAGTCTAGAAGTGGACGAACAATCAGAAGTTTCCATCGGAGTTTACAGCTAGTTTACGCTAGCAGAAGAAGAAGATAAACGGGGTATCTAGAATCGGCCTTATTGTGGTGACGTCCAAATAGAGATTTTACAAATCTTTGACTGGTGAGATAAACCGTTTGGCAGCAGCCCGAAGGGTACAAACCGATCGACTGATCACAGCAGGTTCTTTGCTGAACGTCACTCTTTTTACGGTACGCTTAAAAGTCTCTATAGCTAATCCCCCAGCCCTATATGCTTTCATAGCCAATACATTTTTAGTATCTTGTATCCACATTCGAAGAGGTCGGGTTTTCGGGAACTGTAGCCTCCATGGTCTGTTTTCCCAGGCCACCATTACATTTAATGTGGCCAAAATACTCCTGCTTTAATTATAAAAATATCAAGACGGAATAGGTTCACGAGAACCTCCTGGTGGGTATGGCAATGTGGCAGCACATGCATGCACTCCCTCCCCCATATTTGTTAAGACCCCCCCCCCCCCCCCACCCACTCAACCAACAGTAATTACTCAGAGGCTAAGCACATAAGGCAATGAGAATTAACAAGGGAACTGAGTGCCTTCTCTCCCGCCTCTCCCTTCAAATGTAAACGTTTTAAAGTATTTGTTTTAGGATTACAATAACTTTCAATAAGCATTATAACATCGTATTCTTTAACTCCTCCTTTCATTTATTCCCTACGCTTCTTATCCTGTGCTTGCTATCGCATGCAGCCCCATGTCGGCCATATCTTGTTAACTTCACTCTCTTTCTTCTTGTGTGTGAGTGTGTGTTTATTAATTTTATCATACAACCCGCACCCCTCCCCCTTTTCCCCCACTAATCTTAGTTGGCCGCGTATAATGTGTTTCTCTTTCGGCTTTTCTCAATGTTGGTGGGTTTTTTGGCTGCTGCTTTTTTCGCGATGGGATGGAGCTTTTTTAATGCAATCCGCAACGGTACGTAGTACCGACACCTGTTTTTTTTAAAGACGTCAATTGTTTCAACGCTACTGTAACCGACACTTTTTAATTTTAGTAAATACCAACACCTTTTTGTCTAGAGGAAAAAGCCTTTGAATGGCCAACCTCAAGCCCAACCTTACTCTCGGTCGCCTCTTACGACATACCTGGTAGGGTGCAGTGTTACATTTATTTACTGACTGGGGGGGGGGGGGGGTATCTTTTATATCTAGCAGAGAATTCACAGACGGGTGAATTTTGAAGCCATAGTCTGTTAATTCCATTCACATCATCATCATTGTCATATTGTACCATTATATGTCAAATAGGGCTCGCAGTCTTTTTCTCGATTCTGCTCTAATCTGTAAAAAAAAAGTAAAGGACCCTTTCCCACGCCTTAAGGCATATAGGGCATATAGGGCTATACCTATATTTTTATAGACCAATCGACACAAGATGAGTGATGTGTCCAGTATCACACCAGCCACCTTTACTTTCCCGGGATTGCACCCGGTACCCACTCAAGGCTGGGTCGACCTGGGAGCCAAGGTCATTTTTGAAAGCTCTACTAATCTGTGCAAACAGTTAAATATTATGGTAGCGATTTCGTTGTTATGGAATGTAAACAATTAAACCGGAAATGGATTTGCTTGGTAACGCAAGGGACTTCCTGTCCCTGAATTTTAAGCGTTTCCATACTCATTCATTCATTCAGTAGCATGTCCCTCGCGGAACCTCGCTGCCATAACAACCCTCCGGAAAACCTTCCTATCATGAGCAAGATGTCCTGCGTCTGATACACCCATCTGGAGATCATCTGCCACATCCTGCACCCATCTTCTCCTTGCCCTTCCTCTTCCTCTCTTCCCAGGCATATACCCCTCCATTATTGTTCTCTCTAGACTTCCATGACGTTTCAAGTGACCAAAATATTTCAATTTTCTTTGTTTTATTGTCTTTACTAGCCAACCCTCTTCAATATTCAGCTCTTGAAGTATGGATGCATTTGTTCTTTTCTTTACCCAAGATATTCTTAGAACCTGTCTGTAACATTTATATTCAAATGCATTTATGCGCTGTTCCGCTTGTTTAGTAAGTGTCCAGGTCTCACAGGCGTATGTTGCAATGGGAAAGATGCATGCTCTTAAAATCTGACCTTTGTAATTCTATCTGTACAATTCCATAATTTATTCAGTTGTTTTAGTCTTTGAAGAGCAATTGATAGTCGCCGTTTAATTTCTTTCATTGTGTCACCATTGTTGGTAACCAGTGACCCAAGATATTCAAAATTTTCCACCACTTCCAATCTTTCCTCATTAACATATATTTCCTTCTCCATGGCAGTTTTGTTTGTATGCATTATCTTTGTTTTTGCTGTGTTAAGAAATAAGTTATGATTTTCACTATTTCTTTGGAGTGAGGTTAATAAGTTTTCTAAACCATTTTGTGATGTTGATAGTAATACTGTATCATCAGCATAACGAATTTCTGGTATTTCATGACCACCGATGTTTAGGGCATCATATTGTTCCTTGTTTATATCATCTCTTACATTTCTCATTATATTTTCGGCGTACAGGTTGAACAAATACGGTGACAGCACACATCCCTGACGGACTCCTTGCTTGATGCCAAACCAGTCTGATGTCTCTCCATCTATTCTGACTGCTGCTTGTTGGTCTTGATAGAGCATTTTAATGAGCTGCACTATATGTGATGGAAAGCCCATATTCCTCATGATTTCCCAAAGCTTCTGATGTTGATACTAGTCACTATAAAAACCCGAGTTACTCAATACTGGCTGTTCAGAAACGAATCCGAACACGCGCGATACCTGTAGCAGATGTCAGACTGCTGAATAGCATGTGTTTTTAGAAAAGACGTTTACTCACTAAAAAGTATTTTGTAATTTGGATTAGGGCTAGTAAATTCTTTAATATCTTTTTTTTTGGTCGGAATCTAGCCCATCACCTTTGGCCTCTCTCGTCAACGTTTGTTTTATGGTTCCTTTTGGGCGTTCTCGCGTCCTCAGTCCCTTTAATTTCCATGTTAGTGCTTGTTTGGTGATTCTCTGTCGCTTCTTTTCTGGATGTGTCCAATATAGAACCATCTTCCCTATCTTATAACTGTTGATACCAGTTGTTGCCCAGACATTTCTCGCATTTCTTCACACATTTTCCTTTCACATTGGTTGTTTGAATAGTATCCGGCAGCAGCATCGGCGACGACATTTTTAGCATTTACTGTGAAATTCGTTCTGTTTAGTGATTATTTTTCTCAGCTGTTGGCTTCGATACAAGAGCAAAGAATGGTAAGTAGTTTGTCTTATAAGGTAATGTGTTTAATGTCAACATTTTATTCTCAGTAACAAATTAAAAAAAACTTTTTCATGCTTATGACATGTACAATCAATGTCTCAATCAACGAAACCGACCGACATTTATATTGTTTTCTCAGAATTTGTTTTGGTTTAGTTTCGATTCACTTCGGCTTGGTAATATAATAGTTTGAGACTTTAATAATAATATCTTCCATACTGAGTGAGCAGTGTTGAATTAATGTTACAGTTCAGACAACGAAGCAACAGTAAACTAGATAGATGACTGGGACTCACGAGCAAATAAAATTAAGTAAGGAAGCTGCAGGAGATGCAGTAGCTGCTGATCGTGAGTCCCAGATACTCGTGGCGGTAGTCGTCGGAAGTCCGCAATTTTAGTCCCGGAAGTCAACATCTGACTGAGGCCCTGTTAGGGTATATTTTTGGCCTCGATAATTTGGGACCGTTATTCAGAAGATAGCCAATAAATTATAATTATTACTGCATTAATGACCAGAAGACTACAGATATATAGTTTTGACCTATTGTGTTTACTATTTGCTATGCGGGTTCTGGGGCCCCCTTGGGGTAGATAGACCATGACCATTTGATCCATGAACCTTCTGGAGACGGAGTCTTTTTTGAGTTTCATTACCAAAAAGACGAAGCCTTCAGGAGTGGGTTCTCATAGTTTATTCAGAAATATAAAAAATAAAGCGTTTAATAAATATATATTATAAAACTATATATATCCATGTAAGAAATTGAATGAGCTAACAAACAGAATAAATATTTACTAAATTTAGGAATCAATCTAAAATCTCAACTTTTTTTTTTTTCAATTAACTATTCTAGATTTGCTTAATTTATGCAAGCATTTTTATTTAACTTGAGAACAAACAATAAACATGACTAACCTAAAAAAAATGGGCGCATTTTTTTTGAGATGAAGCTTGAATAAATCCTGACACTTGTGTTTTGGGAAGAAAGGTCCTTGGAGACAGTTTTTGCACATGGTTCTACTCATTTTTCTGCCTCCAGCTATGTTTTGGTTGCTATGACGCAACAGTATTTTTTGCCATTGTTGGGCACAGGTAACTGCAAAAAAAAAAAAAATTGATGTTACAATTACCGAACACATCAATCTTTCTTGAAAGCCGTCAGTGAACAACCCACATATGCAAGAAATGCTAGAAGCAATCTGATCGACTGGAATGAAAACCTGCCAGCTAATCTTAAGGCTTGTATCACATATGGCTAACCGATCGGCCCAGTTGTCCTTTTGGCTACTTTGACTGACAGGCCGATATTTCGGCTGCGTCGCCTCCAAATGGTTAACAAGCATGACGTAAAAAGTGACTAATAAAGAATGTAAAAAAAGGTGTCATAGAAGCATGAACAGGTAGCCAGAGAAAAATAGTTTAACATTTTAGTAAACCAACAGTCCAACTCAGAACTGGTGTTTATTAATCGCCACAAGCTGGGGGATATACTGAAAATTGGATCCGAGCGTTTATGGACTTGTCCTGTGTGCAGTGTGGATAATCTGATGATTAGCCAGCTAACTACTAATTAAGAGTTTGATTTAAGTCTAATGTGTTGTGCTGGAAGGTATCGGTGTCACTGCCTGGGTGTAAACTACAACTCATTGTGCCAACAGTCCTTTTACGAACACAAAGAAAGAAGATTTTTTACATGAATACATTAATATTCTAAAGCAGCCAACTAGTGTAGTATGAATATAAACTCAGCCATGGTGTAAGAACATTAGGGGTTTCTGGTCATAAGATATCCCTATTCAATAATTATTTAAGACTTCTTATCTTCTTTACACTGAGAGAAGGAGAGGGCCACACCTGATTCATGATTCCCAAGTGCTTTTGTGCATTCGAGCTGTAAATTTTAGCAAATGGTGACATGCCATATTTATGCTTGTATAGGCTGCAGTATTTTAAAATTGATAAAAAAATAGGGTGCAGCTTATATCGCAGATATTAGGCTTACATGTCACTTATACAAAATTTATTAAAAACTTCCTCTTTTCCACCATTTACCTCAGCGAGGTGTTGGGGGAGATGTAAGGATTGTTTGTGTGCTTTTTCCAATGCATTGTACAAATTCATATTCATTTCTGTTAGGTTGACCATGATGTTGTCGCTGCATCTCTTGCGTGGTCTTTCCTGTGCTCTATGTTCATTATATTTCTTCAGTGTGGCTCTTTGTGGCAGTTGGTACCAGGGCATTCTCGTCAGGTGGCCAAACACTTTCATTTGTTGTACTTTTATGAATTGTATGACTGGTTTTAGTCCTAGTCTTCTTCAAATTTCTTCATTCTTGATTTTATCTCTTCTCGTCACACTGGTAGCTCCCCTAAGACACCTCAACTCTGTTGTTATGATCTTCCGCTCAATAGTTGTGGTAAGGGTCCATGTTTGGCTCTGGTAGCACAGTGTTGGTCAAAAAGCCGTTCTTATGAGATTTGCTTTGGTTGATAGAGGTATTCTGGTCAAGATGGTGAGGCAGACATCGCACGTCGCTAATGTGTTCTTCTTTTCAGAGATTCTGTATAAACATGAGTAAAATTTGTGTGCTAACATGTGGAAATATGTGATAAATCTGTGTTCTAACATGTAGGAAATGTGAACATTGTGTTCATGAGAACGATTTAACTACATACATGGTGATGCCCAAGAAAAATGTAGGAGATGTGAGAGTGTGCAAACTAAATTCAACAAACAAGACCAGTGTAGAGTAGGAATATTAAATATATTAATAAACAGTACAACATTTGTTTAATTGTCCACCCTTTCTCACTCCTGTCAACATTCCAGATGGTAGCTTCTCCTTTGGCATCGATTTACGTTTGCAAATAACGTAAGGTGGGAGTTTGTCAGCAGTGTTACATGTCACCACGGTGCAGTGCTGTTTTTCTGCTTCTGAAGTTTGTAAATGCAGTGTTTTTTCACCAACTCTATGCACTGTTGTTTCACCTAGTGTATCAAAGTATATGGGAGTTTCAAATGAATTTCCAGTTGCCCTCATAATAAAGTTGTTTGTCTTCTGTAACTTCATAATGTGTCTCTGCAACGCAGTTTCTCCTGGTATATTGTGGGAAGTTACTGCACCATTGTTATCCGCTACAGAATCACAAGGTCATTTCATGCCATAAGCACCTTGCCCAGCCATAATTAGTTTTAAATTCACTCTGAGGAGTGCCTATCTTACGCGCTTGCAGGAACTACTATGTGGTCTCGGTTAAATTCTAAGAAAAATTATTTTTTCCCCTTAAAATTATCATTATTTTTTTCCCTTTAAAATTATCATCTCAGAAGCATGTGTGAATACTGTATATTTTTTTTTTCAATGCTTAGGAACCACATTAAATCTTATGTTTTGTTTTACTAATAAATTGTTAAGTAAGTGCATTTCTTTGCATAAGTAATAGGAAGTTTAGAAAAAGTGGGTGACAATAATAGTTTTAACATGCAAACATTTGTTGCTATTTAAACTTTTTTTCTTTTTAAAACAGTCCCATACAATACTCCTGGTACAGCCAAATCAACGGCCTGAAACAAGAACTTACTCTGATTACGAATCCCTGAATGAATGCCTTGAAGGTAAAATCTAACTTTCAAAATAAAACATGTACAGTATGTTTGTTTGACCCCACAAAAAAGTCAGTAGATGTTACTTTTTCTGAGCTTCATTCTTTTAAAACAGTAGTTATTGTTATCATTATTTGTGTTGTATAAAACTGTCACTACTGCCTTTATTTACCACTTTTTTAGGGCGGTGTAGACAAGGGGGTCGTGAGCCTGAGGATTTAGGCCTGCATGGCTAGTGCCCAGACAGAAAAAACATCACCTTATGGGGCTCGAACTCTCTGAAAAGAAATACGTGACGGCAGCAGTGTTCCTGTCTCAGTGCGAACTGGTCTTTGTAGTCAAACAGTAGTTGTATTTATGTTTGTCTCCTTTATTCACCTTTTGATTGGTGGGGGAGAGGGGGGGGGGGTGTTGTATGACTAACTCTTTGAGAAGAAACATGTCACAGTGCAATGGTAACAATGGTCCTTTCTAAATTTGATCTGGTCTTTTTTAGTCAAAGTGTAATTGTAGTTTTATTTGTCTCCTTCGTTAACTTTTGGGGTTGGGTGGGCTGCTGTGTAGCTCTCTGAGAAGAAACATGTCAGTCAGAGCATGATGGCAAGAGTGGCCCTTTCTTAATGCGAACTGTCTTTTTTAGTCAAACTCACCATTACCAAGGCTTGTGATCCCATACCTCCTTACAGTGTAATACTGTTGTCTGGAAGAATGGACATGGGCTGACTGTAGCTTATTACTGCGCTTCAGAGGTAAATATGCTCGCCTTCTGGATAGTTGGGTCAGGTTTACTTCAACTGTCACATATTACATCCAAAGAAGTTAGCTGTTTGTTTTCCTATGGGGTCACTGTCTTCCTAAGGGGAAACTAGTCCATCCAAGGAAGTGGACTGTTTATTTTCCTAATGGGTCAGTAGTCCATCCAAGGAAATGAGCAGTTTATCTTCCTAGAGAGTCACTTGTTCCATCATAGGAAGTGTTCGAGCTGTTTTTTTTTTACCCCCCTAAGGAAATAGCTTAGCTACTGTTATAGTCTCCTAGTCACAGAGGTCAATCGTCCCAGTATCACAGAGGTCAAGTATGAGTAACCAGACAGAGGGACACAAAGGGAGGCCTTGCAGGTAACCTGGGGACAGTCAGTTGTGTCATCCCGGGTCCCCATTTTGGAGGTACAAAAGAATAGACCCACTGCTCCCCCAACAAATCTGTTGTAAAAGTTAAACAATTAAGTGTGTTTCCTGCTAAGTCAGAGTGAAACAGTGAAACAGATGTGCTCACATAGCTCAGACTCTAGAACAAGACCAAAGTCCAGAGTGGATGAACAACCAGAACTTTCTGTCAGAGTTTACAGCCAGTGAACACTAAGAAGAAGAATTGAGTTTGTAGATAATGCAAGCCTGGGGGGAAAATCAGATGTACTGAGCCACAGACGTGACAGAATAGTACAAACAGTACAGACCTGCTAGAAACGACTCACCCGAGACCTATGAATTGTTTCTTTTTATCAGAAATTCCTCTTATCCAGATAGGAATTTGAGCAAGAAAAATTGCCAGGGATAAACAAGATATTCTTCACAGCGAAATTTGCCACATCCAAGAGCAGTCTGCACTGTAATACTACTAATACTCCTTATCAAGATATGGTTGCTGTCTTTCTGTAGATGGGTAGATTTACTTTCCTACAAAATTTGAAAGACCACAACAAAGAGATATATAAATATTTGGAAAACATTTTCACCTATTTTTTGCGGTACAAACAAAACCCTTGTACACAATGTCAAAGGAACAAGACAGCCATCAGCCACACAAAACATCCTTAACACAAATTTATATGCACATACAAAACTACCAGGGCAATCAACAACAACATTAGATGCAGGTGGCTAGGCTGGGTTATGCAGGAAAAGCAGAGCAAGGACAAAATAAATTGTTAAAAGGGAGAAAAAGACTGGTCAGATAGACTGAACAGAACATTTTTAAATGAGTTAATTATTTATTCTGGTGCCTGAATAATTTTTCTGTCTGTCCATAGTATTGTTGGCGTTTTCCCCCCTCATAAAACACTTTAGGTGTGTTGTTAGATAGTGTTTCTCAGTGTCAAGTAATTATTTAAAGCTAATTGTGACTTTAAAAAAAAAATAACACATTTAATTTCTGTTCTATTTTGTCTATGTGTTGTATTTTTACACATGATTCTTAAACTGTCATATCAAAAATATTTGTGCCTGAAACTCTTGGACAGAAATTTACTTTATAAATCTCGCCCTACAGGAATCTGTAAAATCTTTGAAGAGCACCTGAAACGCCTGCACCCACATGATCCATCCATCACTTATGATATTTCGCAGCTGTTTGAGTTCATTGACCAGTTAACAGACCTGAGCTGCTTAGTGTAAGTTGTATGGGGTCTGCTCCCTCCCCCCATGCTGTTACCTTTTTAACTGTGATTCTATGCAAGCTGTTTATGGGTGGGTTCCCCCTCCCCCTTTTTGATGTAACAATATTCTCTTATTTATTGTGTTTATAGTTTTCATTCCAGTTTGTTCATTATGTTTTTTTTTTTCAGTTTCTTTTTTTCTTCTTGCAAAGTAAATAAAATAAACCTTTTTCATGTCTTTGTGGCAACAGACAAAAAGTAAAAGTAAAGGACCATTTTCCACATCTAAGGTGTGTTGGGTGTATAGGGTTAAACCTATATTTTATAATCAGCACTCAGGTGATTGTGGTCAACATACTTTACTTCCCAGGACTTTACCTCTAACTATTCAAGGTTGGAGCAGCCTGTGAGCCAAGATCTTTTTTTTTTAAAAGTTCGACTTCTTCGGGTTTTACCCCGTGACCTTCGGATCTGCAGGTCAGCTTTGTGGTGAGATTGATGCAGTTGGGGGTGACGAGAGGTTCTGGCAGATGCTTGAGGCTCAGAGGAAAGGCAAGACAGACGTTTAGTCAGAATGCCACTGGCACCATTGGTATCGGAACTCTTCGCTGGCTGCTGAAGATGGGGACGGAGCTCCTAAAAGCAACCAATAGGTTTTGAAAGAGGCGGGAGCCCGAAGACAACTAATCACAGACATCATAAGGAGACAGTCATAATTTTTCAGCCATGTTATGAGAAGAGGGAAAATGGAACATGTGGTGACCACTAGAAAGATCTGTGGAAGGAGGGATAGAGGAAGACAACGAGAAAAAATTCTTGACAGTCTTGTTGCATGGCATGGAGGTGTGTCGGCACACGATCTGATGCATGCTGCAGGAGATCGTAGATTGTGGTGAGGCATAATCGCGCACGTCAGTCAGCAAGGCACCTGATGATGATGATGATACACTATTCGTATTCGGCCGAATAGTTGGTCCCACTATTCGTATTCGGCCGAATAGTGAAAATCACTATTCGGTACAGCCCTAATGTTGATGTAGGAGTTCTTTATTGTCATCAGTCCATGTTCTCCTGCTTTCATTTCTTTCTTTTCATGTGTACCTTCTGCGTTGGTAGTTGTTTTGGCTGCATTCTTATCAGATGCTCAAACCATTGGATCTTCTGTTTCTCAGGCATCTTATTTCGCAGGTGTTAATTTTACGTAGGTAGCCTTTGATAATGTCTAAGTCTGGCACTAGTAGCACAGTGTTGGTATGATTGTACTGTTTATAGTTTACTAATTATCAGTCTAAATCTGAGTCATTTACGTTATTCGCTCAGATATATTATGAGGGGTTAAACAGCTTATTTATCACATATTTCTCCCATTCCTTAAAAGACCTTATGAAAGTAGGAAACTTGTTCTAAAAAAAAATATTTATTGTTGATGTTGTAAAGCTGTGTTCAAGTAAAAAATATATTTAAAGCAATGTTTCCCTGTTGTAAATTCAAACAAAGGAGATACATACAATAGCTTGCACAAATTACTGCCTGGCATATTTCAATCTTAAATCTGGAAGCTTCAGTAACTTGAATATACTATAATGAAGTAAATAAATGAACCTTTAAAAATAAAATATCATCATGTAGCAGGTCGTTCACAGAATGTCACTTTTATCACAGTCTGTCTGAAAGAAACTCGGTCTCTCGTCAGCTCTCCTGCCTCGTGCACTTTCATATTCAAGGAATTACTTATATCCTGTGCCTATCTTCGTGTTGGTTGGCCCCTGCCCCTCCTTCCTGTTACCATACGTTCTATTCCTTTTTCCAGTCCGCCATGGCACTTGATATGACCAAATTATTTGAGCTTCTGAGACAAGATTTGTGATTAGGAAGGATTATCATCACAGCACTCCAGACAGATCCATAGGTGCTCCAATCTCTTTCTCAGTAACTCTATCAGTGTGAAACGACCAGTGACACCTGTTCTGTGTTGATTTATGAAATGTCCGGTCCTTTTAGCGAAACGTTCATTTCTTGCAGCTCCAGGCTGCACCCCTATGTTCATTAACCTAGAGACAGATATAGAGTCATACCCTTTGGCGTTCTCTTTGGTACGGTAAGTGCTGCTCATGGCATTGATAACATCGCTTCTGTCCAGTACTGGACCAGCCATAACAACTGCAGTTTCAGCAAGAAGATTAGCATGCTCATTCTCTTGAACACCTGCATCACTTGGCACAAAGATGAAGGTTAGGGTAGCCATTCACTATGTGCTAAGTGTTGTGGTCCATTCTTATCTGACATAACCAGCCTGGATTTTTTTAAAGCATATTCGAGTCACTAAGTATGCACACGTGTGTGAACTCTTGAGTACCAAGCCATGCTATTTTCCTTGTTACAGCCATAGTTTTTATTGTAAGGCTGCTAGTTGTAACAGCAAAGGCACCATTCATCTCCTTGATGGTTTTTCCCTCTTGAGCTTACTGTGAATGCCCATACACCTCCCTTGCCCTGAATTACTGATCTGTCTGTGTAAACTACAGCATCACCTTCATTTGTGTTTTCATCAATCAATGTTCTGACTAAAGTGTCAACAGTGCCAGGCATCTGCTCTCTACAGCTTCCATCAAAGGTGATGTGGACTGTAATGTTTGGAGCAGGAGGCATGGGATTCCATTCAATTCCAAAATTGTCAGTAAGGTGGCCTCACGGATTTACAGAAGGTGTCTTTAGTGCACCCAAGAATAATGCACATTGTCTCATTTTCAATTTTTTTCAAATCTGTTCATCTGTGTGGTGCAGACTCTTATGATGCCCAGTGCATATTTAATGGTGGAGAGAACTAGCCCATGATATAGCATTACAAGCAGCCGTTGCTAAAACTTGCAGCTCCCATAACTTTTATTGCGGAGAGACTTTTCTTGGTCTACATGTTTTTAATTGCAGAGCATCTGTCAAATGTGATACCCATGTATTTCATGGAATCAGATCTCTCCACGTCAGCACCACAGAGTTTTATCATCAGCACTAGTGTTTTGGGAAATGATTATTTAATGAGAACCAGGTGACTGTCGCTTTTGATGGATTAATTGTTGTTTCTGAGGTGTTGCACCAGGATGATATGTGATCTGTTTCTTGTTGTAGATCCAAAACAGTGTCATCTCTGTTTCAGAGACAAGATGCTGTTTATTAGCCAAACTTCCTAGATGTTCAGATCTTTCAAAGTGTTAGTATTTCTTCTTTTCCTTGTCCATGGTATTCTGAGAATCTTTCTTTAGCTGTTCAGTTCAGAAACCCTTAAGAATATCCATATGATGCTACTAGGAAGATGCATGCTCTCAAAATTGTTACTTTGATTTCTTTATTGGTTCTTAACCATAGTCTTTTAAGGCTTTTTAATTTCTGTGTTGCTGTGGCTAGCCTTCTTTTGACTTCTATCAAACAGTCTCCAGTGCTATTTATTATGGAGCCTAGATATTGACAGTTTCTGATATTTTCATTTTCTTCATCATTTATTGTTAATTTGGGCGACAGCCAGTTTGGTATGTGGACATTGTTTTTGTTTTCTTTAAATTCTTGATCTAGGTTTTTGGACAGATATGTTTAAATGTTTTATTTCTTTAAGACTGTTTGAAAGATGGACTGTGTCGTCATCATAGCGAAGTTCCGGAATAGAAGTGCCACCAATTATGAGTGGATCATAACTGTTACAAGTCTGGTTACTTTTGACATTTCATATTACTCTGTAATAAAATGATTAGTAATTACAAATAAATGAAAAATATTGTTTGATTATCCTTTCTGCAGATTTCAAAAGACATATGGAACATACACTCCTCATAACAAAGACTGGCTTAAAGAGAAGATCTACCACATGTTAAGGAAGCAGGCTGGAAAGTGATGGGCTCTGCTCAAGTGGATATGTCTGTGTTCATTCTACCCCACCATCTTTTTAAAGTATAAATAAATGAAAGGTTATTAGGAATCTTCTCTCACTGTCTTCCTGTGTATCTCTGGCCATAAATCTTTTCATTGCTACGTTTATTTTTATTTCCTTTCAAAACTAGATCACACGTGTCAGCTAACTCTGTTCACTGTGTCTGATCAGTTGTTTTGGGTTTTAGCCTTTCTTAACATTAAGATATTAGTTTTCACTATCCAGTGTGTATTTTTAACTTCAGTAAAACCGCATTTGTCTGCCTTTGATGAATTTTGTTGCTTACTTACTCATTCTTTAGGGTTCTTAGTCATGTATTAATATTGCCTCTATTTTCTCTCTAATCTATTGTGGTGCTTTATAGGGCAGAGGTACTGCATGCACGAACAAGTTGAATGAGAACAGATCATGAGACGCGCCAAGGAAATATTGAAGAGATAAGATACAGGCAGACCTACAAGCACTTTGTGTCTGAGTGAAGAATAAAGAGTGAGAAGCAACAGCGACATTCATATCTGTTTAAATCACAATTGATGGCTGGTATTATGACGGATAATAGACTACAGTGGTTGGGGCATGTTGAGAGAATGGCAGATAACAGGAGGAGGGAGGGGGAACATTCCCAACTTACAGTGACAGGGATTAATTACATTAGATGTTCTTTATTCTCCGTTGCCTAAAATCTAAATTTCATCAAATGCAGTTTTTATTTGGTACATGGTATTTTCTGTGCGCACCTTTCATCTGATGTCATCATTGTACCTACATGCTTGAATTTGCTGGTATGGAACAGTTTAAAAATATATAATTAAAAATACACTCAGTCAGGATGCTCTGGTTTGTCACACCTCTTGAAAAAAGTTCAGTTTCATTGTACAGGAGGAGTTCATGGTCAGTGTGACATCAGACTCTGGTTTGTGAGATGCCCCAGTGGGATCTGAAAAACAGTTCATAGTCTGTGTAACATTTGACCCGAGTTCATGTTCAATATACCTTGCCTTGGTCGTCACATGTCCAGCAGGGGAATAAGGTCAGTTTATGGTCACTGTAACACCTAGCCATGATTCAGACAATCTGTGTACTACAACTAGTTTATATACATGATTCAGTCATATGTTTAACTAAAATTCCAGTACCCCACTGTTTGGATAGCTTTTTTTTTTAAATCTGCAGCTGGTTATAGTTGGCTTGCTTTTCATTTTAAAGCAGTGGCTCTCAACCTTCCTAATGCAGCGACCTTTAATACAGTTCCTCATGTTGCAGCGACCCCCAACCATACAATTATTTTTTCGTTGCTACTTCATAACTTCAGTGAATATGTGTTTTCTACTGGCCCTTGGCGACCCCCTGTGAATGGGTCTTTCGACCCACTGTTCTAAAATCCTGTAGTTTTGTTTGCTATGACTGTGTCAGCAGTATCACCATTTTAACTTTGTTTTGCACGATCAGCTAGATAAACATTGACATTGCAGTTAACGTGGTATTTGTGTAATTATTTTCTGTTAATTGTTATGGTATTAAAATGTGACAATACAGTTTTTATACAAATTTTCTTCTCCTGTTGTTATTTTATGTTAAGTCTTTTTCTATAATTAGTTTCACTTGGGGTCTCCCATGATTTCTATGGATGAGTCATGGACTCTTAGTCTTTGAAAAAAAAAATGAGCTTCTGAGCTTAAATGCTACAGATTTTTTTTTTTTTACAATATCATGGACCAAGAAGAAGAAAAAAACACAATCTACATTCCTACATGATCTGAGCATCAAGGAGAATTGGCTCATAAACAGCATCTTGTCCCAAAAGCTGACATGTTAAACATTGTGGTGGCCTGGAGAGGGGTGATGGGGGTGTAGTTTTTGGGAAACAGCCTCCACGGATGCGGATACAATATATTGAAGATCCATTGGTTATGAAAGCTTACGGAGCTGGAGAATTAAACTAGAGAAACTTTCAGGTGTGCCGTGAAGAGGGAGAGCTTCTGTAAATGGCCTGCTGACTGATTAAGATAAAGTCTATACCCTATGCCAACCTCTTACATCGCCTGTCAGTTGCATCTTAAGACATGTATGATAGGCTCTCAACCAACTTGTATTTGTAGACTTTATGTCTGACTGGGTGGCCAATCCTCTTTTTTGGTCGCCTCTAACTGCATGTTTGGTAGGGGTCAGTAACTACCCCGATTTTAACATTCACCAAAGAGGAGCAGCATTCTGTTTTTTAAAAATCAGGTTACACAAGATGATCTCATGGTTATTGTGATTTATCTCATTACTAAAAGACCTCTCAGCAACACCAATGGCATAGTTACTATTTTTTATCATCATCATCTATAAATGCCATGCAGATAAGCATCTGCTGTCATGTTCCACAATCTTACATGATCACTAGAATCATGGATCATTAGTGTTCTTGTCTTGTCCCATCCAAATTACTAAGCCATCCAAACTTATCTTTTTGTTTTTCCCTTGCTGTCTTTCCATCAGTCATGTCAGTCATTATGAAGTCCTTTAGTCCATCCATTCTCATGACAGGTCCGACAAATCACTGTCTAGGCACTCTGTCAATTTTTTTTAATCAGTTCATGACCTTTTCTGTCTTGAAGAGAATTGCCTTGTTTGTTTTTCTATCATTCCATGATATTCTTTTAAATTTTCTGAAAAAACATATATTAAAAAATAACCACATCTCCGAGTGAATGTTTTTCAGCTTGTCTGCTTATTGTCCATGTCTCACTTCCATACAACACCACAGGTGCACTTTAACACTCCCCCCCCCCCCCCCCCCCATATCACAAAGTCAACGTGTGACAGATATAACATATCACAATTATGTCTCAGATATGACAGACAACATGTCTTAAATAAGGCAGTCATGTCAAAGGTATGATGTCACAGATGTGAGAATCACCATGTCAGATATATAATAACATGTCATAAATACATTACAGTTATCTTACTTACTTAGTCGCTCCTCTTCTACCTCGAGGTGTAGAGGTTTGCCAGAGATATTGCCATACTTCTCTGTCAGCAGTTTTCTTTTTCGCTTTGTTCCGTTCATCCTCTGTCAGTCAGGGACTTTGGAATGTTGTCTTCCCAGCGAACCCTGGGTCACCCTATTGGTCTGGTTCCCTGGTTTTTGGCCTCCCATGCCTGTCATAGTGGTCGGTTCTCTCCCTTTCTGCACATGTCCAAACCGTCATAACTGACTGATCCACTCAAGTTTATAAGGAATGGTTTTCAAAGTAATGACGTACTGACTGTGAACTTTGTCCCCTTGTCAATTAACCACCTTTCTCAAATACCTTATTTCTGAGGCATGAAGCTGGTTTCTGTGAGCTGTTGTCATTGCCCATGACTTTCACTGATAGGTCAGGCCTGGTACATAGGTAGAGCTGTATACAGCCATTTTTGATGCCTTGCTAATTTATTAATTTTTTTTGTGCAGAGAAACCCTTGATTTATGGCCTGGCTCCAAGCTGCTGCTTTTCGAGCAGCCTACTCTGACTTGATGCCTTCATTCTGGTCTGTTACGACTCCAAGGTATTTGAACTGGTTGACCCATGCATCTTGTCCCATCATGGTCTGGTTTCTTCTCCTCTTGAGATCACTGTGGTTTTAGTTTTAGAGACACTGAAGGTCAGCCCTCTCTTCTCAAGGACTTTCTTCCATATATGTTGGACTGAAGATGCGCCACTGATTTAGCTATCAGGGCCACATCATCTACAAAGACCAACTCTGATATACAGGTTGGCCTCATATTCCGTACCCTAGTGAGTACTTCTTTGACTTCTTACAGGTCTTGACATCATCCATCAGAAGGATGAAGAGGAAAGATGAGAGGATATCTCCCTAACACCACTAAGGGTCTTGAATTCTTCTGACTTTTGGTTTCCTTTTGTTACATAATTTCTGCAGTTTTTGTAGACTGTGTATTGTGCTGATCAGGGGTGCTAGAATGTTCTTCACTGCCAAGCAGTCCCAGAGTTTTGCTACAGGGAACCTTATCAAATGCCTTTTCTAGATCCAGGAAACAAGTGCATCTCACTCATATTGAAGGACTTTTTCATTCATCTGTCTCAGTGTGAAGATAAGGTCTTGAGTACTTCAGTTTGCTCTTAAACTGCATTGCGCGTGATCCAGCTGTGGTTCCGCCTGACATCTGAGAATTCTAGAGTAACTGTTTCAGGAACGCTGAGGAGGGATATGCCTCTGTGGTTTTCACATTGTCTGTTATCACCCTTTTTTAAATACAGGTATAATGATGACAATCTCTCAAACTTTTGGTATAGTCTTACTACACCAGGCGGCCTAAAAAACCTTCAGGAGAAGTCGCTCCCCTGCAACTTTAATATATTTGACCATCTCTGGTGTTATTGTTATACCATCATGTCCAGCTACTTTTCCCAGCTTAATATTCTCAATAGCCGCCTTCAATTCCTTCAGTTCTCATCCCCATTGTTGGTTTCCCTATCTGTCGTGAGATCCGTTATTTCTGGGACATGACTTTCCTTACCCCCAAGGAACCCTGAGAAGTATTCTTTCCATCTGTTCATAATATCATTTGTAGTAGTAAGCAGAGCCCCTTCCTTGTCTTTTATAAATTTCAACTGACATTCTTTTCTTCTTTCCCCATGTTATGAAGGTTCACATCTTGTGTATGCATGAATGCACTTGTGGGGAAACATTGTGTTTTTTGACAAGGTTATGTTCTCCATTACAGTTATGCATAACTAAAAAATAAGAGGGCTTTCTGAACCTGGTAAAGAACCCTTTTCCATGCCTACAGGCATATAGGGCTAGACCCTTATTTTATAGACTAATTGGCACTTGGTGATTTGGTGAGCATCACCCCGGCCACCTTACTTTTTAGGACTTTACCTGGTATCCACTCAAAACTGGATTGACCTCGGAGCCAAGGTCTATTTTTGCAAGAACCTGCTCTGCAGGTGAACATCTAGCTGCCACACGATGGTGGTTACAGCTGAATAGGATAGCTATTTTAAAAAAAAAAGCAATAGTTATGATTGTCATTTACACACATATTGCTTCACTGGTGCCAGGAAGTTGTCAGATTTGCTTTGTTAGTCTATTGAAGGATACAAAGCATTTATGAGAGTCTTCATTATCATGTAGCCAACTCTTTGTCAAATGTTGCTATCGTCATGGCCCACTTAAAAGGCTCTCCAAATCTTGCATTTTATGCTGGTTGACCCCTGTCTCTCCTTAGGAAGGTTTATGTGTGCAGTGAGACTGGTTATTGACAATTTCTTTTTCTTTTCATAGCTTTCTTGTGTGTCCACAGCCTTCTCTTTCATTTTAATAATTTCTTGCACAAATCTTCCTTCAAGCCGTGATGCCACACTGTTTAGCATGCTCTCCCTCTGCCTCTCTTTCCCTCGAACTTTAACATCACTACTACGTACTCCAATTTTCCCTTTTTCATTATTCAAACAATGTAGATCGTCTCCTTTTGATGCAAATAATTATTTCTCTTTGTGAGTTTCTTTCAAGGCATCTTCATTATACTTTTTTTAATTTGTCTATTATGTTCTTTTTCATCTAAACTAAGCCAGTTAAAACATTCTACAACGCAAACCTGAACCTTTTTATTCTGGTAATCATATGAGACAATTAACCACCATTGCATTAACAGTGCCAAATATGGATATCTATATAAACAAAAATGTAAATGTTTGTGCTAATCTCTGAAAGTTCTTCACCAATTGCTTTTAAATCTTGACACAAAATTGCATTCGAATAAGCATGTGTTTTTATATAGAATATCTCACAGAGCACGAACTACATAGCACTAGCAAAGATCACAACAGCATCTTGGTCCTGTTTTCTGATAATTTTTTTGTTTCCATAGCCGTGTTCCCAGCATGGGTTTTTGTTGGTAGGCCAACTTTGACTGTTGATCTCAGAAATCTTCATGAAGGTGTATGCCAGCAGTTCTTCACCGATTGCTTTGAAATGATCACACAACATTGCATTAGAATATGTGCATGCTTTTATACAAGAGTGTCGCACAAAGCACGAACTACATCGTTCCAGTGAAGATCTCATCAGCATCTTGATTTTGTTTCAAGACAATCTGGTTTCTTTTTCATTGCTGCGTCCCTAAACATTGACTGTTGACCTCAGAAATCTGCATAAAGCTTTATGATATAACAAATTATTTCAGAGAGTTGTTGAAAGACTGTTTGGAAATGTGAAGATGTGGGAATAAAAACAAGTTGGCGTTAAAAGTTGTGGGTATAAAAAGAATGAAAGATTACTGATTAGTGAGAACTATTATTACAGCATTGCCCTTGGTGCTGCAGGCTGCACTTCCATATGCAACACCCTCAACACGATCTTCTTCGCAATATACATGTCACTAGACATCATTGACATCCCCACTGCCCATGTCGGGGAAGTCACAGTAACCGCCTTGACCACAAGATTAATCTGCCCATGGTAGCAGCAGTAGTAACAGAACAGAAGTAGTTATTGTTGTGGTTAGCCAGGTGGTTACAACATCAGGCTGTCATGTGGGAGACCCGAGTTTGACCTTCAGTATTGTGATGGAGTTTTTCTGTCAGGGGCACAATTGAACATGCTAACCTGAACAGTCCGTGGCGACAGCACTAGCCATATGGCTTCTCTGGCTCATGACCCCCTGTCTAAACCGACCTAGGTTAGTTGCGTATCCTTTACAGGACGTTGCAGAACCAACCTCATCAGCCCCTGGCTGTTGTGTGGTTTGACTAGGCAAATTTACGTCCAGTAGTTTGCCATTGCTTTCTGGACAGTCGGCTCCCTGATACCATTGTCCTAACCAACGCAAGGCATATGGCCCGCAGCTGTGATTGAACCCGGTACCCCGGCATTACGACTTAGCCACAGAGCCGACACACCGACCTAGACAGGTGGTAAAACATGCAGTATTGACATTTTTTTTTAGTTGTTGTGGTGCTGATGGCGGTAGTAGTAGTACTGGTACTAGGGGTGCTGTGGTAACTATTACACTAGCCGCATTTACTTCTAATTACAATTCCTGTTACTCATTTTAGTCTGGGTGGACATCGATGCCAAGGTCAATTTTAAAAAATGTGTGATGAATTTCAAATCCTTCGGAGAGAGAGATGAGTAGTCTGTGGATTGGGAGGGGTGATGACAGAAACTGTTAACTGAGAGAGTTTTAAACATGATTTTACAGTTTGCATTTTTTAATTATTTATATTTTAATAATTTGTGTGAGTGTGTACAACTTTGTTGGTTTTTTCAGATGTACAGTAATAAACTTTGCTTTCAGCTTTTTAAAAAATATACATACAAACTTTTTGGATGTGATAAACAAACAATTTTTTTTATTTTTGTCCTAATTATACACTTAACGCCAGATGTCTAACGTTCACTGTAATAAACTTTGCTTTCAGCTCTTCGAAAAATGTACATAAAAACTTTTTGTGATAAACAAATAATTTTTTCATTTTGGTCTTAACAATACACTTAACGCGACCACTATCTATTATATGTTGCGTGTTCTAGAGTCGGCAAACCAGACTATGTCTAAATCTGCACAGACAATGATTGTGAAATATATTAGACAGGTGAGCTTTATATTTTCTTTCTTTGCCATTTAGACAGACTTAGCCACAGCAAGGTGTAGTTGGGTACAGCTAGCTGGTTAACAATAAAAGAAAAAAGAAAAATCGCAATAAAGAAATTAAATGTCTAAGACATTCCATTGTAACTAGAACAGACAGGATCAGAAATGACAATATCATTAAAGAAGTGGGATAGAACCAGTACTTACTACATCAAGAGACAACAGATTAAATGGTTCAGACATGTGTCAAAATTGCCACCAGATAGTGCACCACAGAGAGCCCTGTCATTTATATGTAATGAAAGGAGACCTAGAGGCAGATTATGGAAACGATGGATAGATGGAATATCTAAGGCCGTAAATATCAGCATCTATGTCATCATCAAATGCTCTGCCGATAGGGCGTTCATGCATCTCCACATATATTGGTACTTTGTCTTCTGGATCAGTTCCCTCCGTGCCGCCGTCTCAGTCTATCCGTCATCATGTCTCTTGGTCTGCCTCTCCTTCTTCTATTTATGATCTTTCCAGTTGTCAAAATATTCTCCAAAGCCTCTCTCCTCATCACATGACTAAAGAACAGTGCTTTATCTTTTCCTTTTAGCTGTAATATATAGATCTGCTTTCATTAGCTTCTTTCAAGTAATCCTCGTTAGTTGCTCTGGCAGTCAAGGAATTTTCAACATTTGTATGAGGAACCACATCTTTGTCGAAGAGGCGGAGTAGAAATGAGCAGAGAATCAGATGTTAAGCTCTTAAATGGAAAATAAAGGGGGTTAGGGAGGCGAGGATGCCCAAATGAAACCTTCAAATGTATGTTAATTAGAGAGGCCAAAGGTGCTTGACTTGATTCCATCCATGGTATTAAATTAACTTCACAGGATAGGACAAAATGGAGAAATATGAGTCCTATGTGACTCGGAATAGCACAACATGATAATGATGTAGCATATTTCAATGCTCAACCTAATGCCTCTTCAAAACATGATGTTGGAAGACAGAACAGGACTAGGGAAGAAGAAGGTAAATCATATGAGTTGACAAACCATGACTGTCAAAGGGTATGGGCATAAAACATGTTAATGAGACATCTCAAATAAAATTACCACAAAATTCTTTCATAAATCTTTCTCGATCAATTTTTTCAAACAGCACAGTAGCTGAGTTTGCAGTTTGGAAACAGGCTTTGTCAAAGTGTACGTTAGTCAGCAAAATCTTGGCTTTGTTATCTGTTGTCATTGCTATGAAACTAGTCATGATGTCCATCAGTGGATACACAACACTGCTGAAGACTTTGTATTCGAGAAGGACTTGATCTTGTGGTGAAAACTTCTTCATGGTTTCTCGTTGTACATCTGCAAACCTTCCATGTGCATTTCTTACAGGGACGCACATCATCTCTAAAGAAGCAGTTAATTTATTGTTCAGAAACAGCCTACATATATCTGTTAAGCGGACACTGTCAATATGAGGTGTTACAATAAACACTTTTGCATCCTTATCAGCAAACCAGAGGTTAAGCGTTGACTTCCATAGTCTGTACATCACGCTGCCTTGGATAACGCTTCCAGACAATAATCGTTTTAACTGCTGCTTGGTTTCTTCTTCATTTAACTGAAAAATTATTAAAAACTGTATTCAGATTTAAATCGCACATGAATTCACACATACTACATACTACTCACACACACACACACACACACAAAATCTTGGAAGCCTTTTACTTTCCAAACTAATTCTTTAAAATATCTTTTTTTTCTAAATAATTTGTTTTGTTGCTAAAATAAAAGTATAATTATTCATGAACACATCACACTGGCCGGCAAGGGATTATTTTCACCACTCAGAAAAACAGAAAAAAATGTAAACATATATTTAGATGACAACAAACCAGGCAATGTTAGAGGATGTCGAGACAGACTAGTGATTCAAAAAATAAGAACACTGAACACCTGTTCTATGGACTAAAGAATATATGAGAAGAACTGACAGAAATAATGGGAAAATAAAAAAATAGGAATAATGAGATTATGCAAGCAATGATGTGCAAATTAGGTTGGAAGCGAAGAAGAGACTGACCATGCAGTGATGAATAGAGGGAATTATGGAGTCACTGGAAATCCCTATTTATGAAGCACACGAAATGGCTCTTTCCCATAAATTATACTTCACCTCAACGCTGCAAAGTACAAGAGGATCAAGATGAGGTGACATCACATTAAGTTATGAGTCTAACTTGCACATGGAAGACAAGATTTTGTCAGTGACAGGCATTTTCTCTTAGATAAATCATTGTTTAAAACATTGCCTATGATTACTGAAAACTGAACATTCATGCTCTGAAATTTTATTTTGTAAGATTTATGGATTAAATTGTAACAAAGTTTCAAAGATCTGTTGCTTAACATTTTGTAAGGAATATATATTGTATATACAAAATCTTTGTGCAGAAGTAAAAATGTATATTATCATTTTCATTTATGTGAACCCATTCAAAAGAAGAAAGAGAGATGGAATATTTGTGTGTGCAGACTGTTGGTTCCAGGACTCTCTGATGCACTCTGACCTTGAAGGAAACCCCTCTAATTAGTCTATGTTCACATCATGATTTTTAGAAAAGCAGTGGGTCTTTTTTTTTTTTACCCAACAAAGAGGCCCCTGAACCCACATGAGGCTGTCTGTACTGAAAATTGTTACTGTTGTTTGATTCTCTGTGCCTGTCAAACAGGACCACAAGCACATGAGCACATTCTGCAGACCTGCCCACTCTACCTACAACTTCAAAAAGACACCTGGCCTCGAGAGCAAAGTGTTCAGAGCAAGCTATGTGGAACCTGAAGGACCTGCTGCTAATATGCGAGTTTATAGAGGCAACCCGCCTGTTGGTCTGATCTAAGCATACAATACCGAACGCACACAAAAAGAAGATTCTCTGTAGCATGCTAGTTTCTATAAAATAGACTGACAGAGATTTCTGAACAAATTTTATTTTTAACGGGTTAGGAATTGGGCACATAGGCCTGTCTAACATCTGCCCTTCTAATTTCCCTCCTTTCAGACATTATTTCACTTATACTATTAATAGTAAACAGCTAAATATTAAATACAAGCAGAGGAATGTGCTCGAATTACACCTACATTTCTAACCACAGTAAACCATACTACATGTAATAAATCTAGATATACGCTATTTCTTAAATACTTTTATAGGTGGTGAGTAATCTAGGCTCAGATAATGAAAAGTAGCCCTTAAACTTACAAAGGCGACTAATTAGGGGTTTTCTTAAATCAACTGTTGTGTTTGGCCATAAAGCACACATTCTGCAGCCTAGTAGTAAACCACAACACAAAATGCCAAGCATTGTTTTTAAGGGTAAGCACAGAAAAAGAAAATGTGTGTGTCAGCCACCTTTGCACACATGTCAAGAGTGGCACATGGAACAATTTTCAATGGCATGTTTAATGAATTGAAATACACAATATTGTCTCATTTAATACAGTCTGGAAAATTAAGTTTACTATGCCCTTCAACATCTGCTGAAGTCAAAGTGTCTATCTCGCAACACCAAGATCAAAATATATAAAACGTTAAGACCCGTCGTTTTATATGGCTCTGAAACTTGGAGCACAACTAAAAGAGATGAAGCCTTATTACAGGTTTTCGAAAACGGATTCCTACGACGAATCTTTGGACCCATTAATGATGCAAATAGCGGGGTATGTAAAGTGAGAAGCAACAACGATATTCATAATCTATTTAAATCACCATTGATCACTGGCATCATGAGAGTTAATAGACTGAAATGGGGTTGGGTCATATTTACAGAATGTCAGATGACAGAGAAGTAAAAACTGTATACACCAGGGAGATGAATGGTCATAGACCACGATGCAGAGCATGGAGAGATAATGTCCAAATAGACCTGCAAACACTTGAATTTATCAACTGGAAAGAGAAGGCCAACCTGAGAGATGGAGGAAGGTGGGTGATGTTTGCAGTAATGAACCTTAAGGGCTCAGAATGCTGAAGAAGAAGAATATGGTTTCATTTAAAAAACAACACACACAAAACATATACAGTTACTTCACATGTAAAATTAGTATGCTCCAAAAAATTTTGTGTGTAGAAAATTTAGGCATAGGTTGTCTTTGTGACATTATTCAGGCACAACATTGCTGAAAGGTTTCCAAACTTTTTTTAGAATGTGCTACTTAAAAACAATTGTTAAAGTTATGATGCTTTCTTTATTAAAAGACCTTATGTGACAATGAAAATGCATATTTGGAAAAGCTTTACATGAATCAAACTACTGAACCTAAAATTTGCCTATAAAAACCACAACAGCCAAAAAATGCTAGGTTTGGTTCTGCAATGTACTACAAAGGATACACAACTAACTTGTAAAGCTGAGGTGAAAGCTGCTTACCAAATCAGCGATTGGATTATGTGTTTCTAGATCAGATCCCTTGAGAAAGCCATCAGGATCAATAGCTTCATAATACTGTTGAGTTTTCCCAGCATCTAATACATTTGCTGAAGCTTCTAATGTTTCGTCTGGCCAGTCCTCAATATCTAATTAAATAGTCAAATTTATAGAAATTAAACTAGTTTATCATGGACAGTCAGCCAGTTAGTAGAAAAAATTACACGAGCATGATGTGCTATTTGTTAGAAGCATGATTAAAAAGTGTAGTGAAGATGTCCAAAAAGAAATAAACTCAAAAATATAACATTTCTGGAGTATGTCATGTGAAGGAGAAAGCTGGAGGAAAGTTTAAGGATCTGAAGCAGAGGGAGACCAAGAGAGAAAAAAAAGATGTTTGACAACATCACATTGCCTCGGTATAGGAAACATGCTTAAGTAGTTGCCTCCTAAGAAAAGAGGGGGTGGGGGATGGCAGTTGATCTTCTTCTTTATTGTTCACGGGCTGAAAGTCCTGGTTGTTCATCCACCTGGACTTTGTGCCAGGAGCTGAGTTTGGGGTGTACACCGTTTTACTGGCTTATCTGTGTGCAGCTGGTTGTTCCTTGTCACTCTAGCAGATGCACTTCAAATTTGAAGGAAGCCCCCAAGTAGTCAACTCCTAGGACATACTTTTTGTGGAGGCAGTGGGTATACTCTGCCAATTGCAAAGTACCCAGTGATGAATAGAAACACAGATTTAGTCTCAAATTTACAGATGTAATATCATCAGTATTACACCCAGTGATGACTTTTCTCACTCCTCTGGTGTCTACGTTTTAAGCCTGGGTCAACTTGTTTTTTTTTTCTTTTCTCTATAACCTGTTCTTTTAGCATCAGGATCTCCTACCAGCCTTGGTGTGTATGTGCTGCATAGATGCTAATATTACTGGCCTCAGATATTCCATCTATCCATCAGTTACCTCTGGCTCTGCCACTATTGTGTCTAAATAGCAGGTCTCCCTGTGGTGCACTATTTTTTGTAATAGTCTTGACACATGTCAGAAATATATGATCTGTTATCTCTTGACATAGTTTAGCTGGTCAACTTAGAGCTATACTTTACAGGAAAAATCTACCCTTTAAACAAATTATCTGAAACCAAGAGCAGAACCAGCCACTGCAACACCAAATGTGCATAACTTCTTCTTTCTGAATCTCTGATCACATGCTTAGTTCACTGTGGGCCATAAACTGGGATGTCAGTTTGATATTCTCAGGTTTAGCCTGGGGGTTCGTAGCAAAAGCCAATGGAAAATCTTCAGTGCAAGACAGCCTTAGCATATGACACCACAACATCTAACATGAGAGTGGAGGTGGTAACTGCAGCTCTCCGGTGGCTAGAGAACAAGATGCATACACATGCCATAACTGTAACAGACTCTGAAAGCATGCTGAGAAAGGTGAAGATCAGAGTGGCAAGCTTCACTGAAAAGGTCACGGATAGTGAGCATACTTTGGATCTTTTCTCCAGGCCATGCCAGCATGGTGGGTAATGAACAGAAGACAGATTGGCTGAATCTGCACCACTGGGCAGTGAACTGTTACATGACAAGGCAGATGTGGTCAAGGCCCTTCGGGAACAAGCAATGGAATCAGTAAAGAAAGAAGATTATTATGCCCTGGAGAGAATGAAGCACCTGGGTGTAACCAGAGGGTCTGGCTGGCTCACTACACTCAGCGGATAAGCAAGACGGACATATAACCAGGTTGTGACCAGTACCATCAGTACTGGAACTGCGCTGGCTGCTGAAGATGAGAAATGCCCCGAATGCTGTGATTTCAAGTCTTGACCCAACTTAACTCAACTCAGGTTAGCTTGAAGCTTAGTTGTCAGGTCTACTGCTGAATAACTAGAAATGACAACACTGAAAAAATAGTCCACTTACACTTTTTATAGTACTTTTTCTGCTCCTGGTGCAGAGAATCTACTTCCTGTTTTGTGTATTGTTCCCGCAATTCTTTTGAAGCAGTTACTGGTGGCTTCAAGTAACCATTCATAATTTCTGGAAAACGACTCACTGCCCAATCGATGACATGTGAGCCTTTAATGGTGAGGCAGCCTGAAGCTAAGTCTACTCTTAAAGTGACTCCATCCACTCTAAGCTGTAGTTCATATTTGTTTCCCATTCTGTATAATTTCTTGTACGTATGAGAATATACCTGAAGCCCAAAAAAAAAAAAAAGTCTGTAGGAGATTGCATAAAATGAAGAAAAAAAAAGTCAAAATAAAATAAACATTGGAAATGTTTATTTCATAAGGCAGGTATATTTAACTGATGGCCTGTGGGTCAGATATGGCCCATGAGTGTCTAGCAAGTGGCCCGCAAATCACTGCCAATTGTATTGTATTAATGATCTTTCTGTGGTGGGGTTCAGGCCTCTGGCCCATGATGATTCCCATTTCAAACTGTTGGTCCCTGAGCAAACTTAGCTGAATAGTCCTGTCATAAGGCAACCTCTGTTTCAGTCTGTTTAATATCTCAATTTACTGCTCAGTCTCTGTCTGTCTGTCTCTCTCTTTCTCTATCTCTCTCTCACAGTCTGCCTCTCTCTGAGTCTTTTTTAAATCTCCTTCTGCTTATTTTAAAAGCTTCACCTTCTTACACCCATGTCGTATGGTGTTGGCAGATGTCTATCCACAATCAACAGTCTAGTGTACTTTTAATCATTTCTGGCACAGATTACCTTCCATGTCACAATGTCAAACTGTCCAGCATCTTCTCTCTTGGTCTCCCTCTGCCCACTTTCTCCTCCAACTTTCATACGGTTACCATGTACTCACAATTTTCTCCTTCTCATGATCGGGTCAAAGAATGTAAATTGAGTCCTTCTAGTGTGGGCAGTCAGTTGTCATTGTGAATTAATTTCTGTCATGACATCTTTATTTTAGAGATTCTTTTTTTTTCTCTCTCTAACAGCACATGCCTGCCCGTGAATGTGTGTACCCATGCACATACATTTACATACACACACACATAGATATTTTTAACAATACCCCCCCCCCCTTCCATCACCACCACCCCACACTTAAAAAGAAAATGACTCATTATTAAAATTTAAGTCACACTACACAGCCCTTTAAAAAAAAAAGCACAGAACTACAGTCAAGTCCACTTAAGTCGAACTCGGATTAGTCAAACTCTGGTTTAGTTAACATGACCAGCTTAGTCCCTGCAATTTTCTCTATTGTGTGTACTGTCTGGATAAGTAGCAATTTTGATAAGTGGAAGCATTTCCAACTCCGCTAAGACCGGTCCCAAGCCCGGCTGTAAAAGGAGGAGGGTCTGGCTGAACCTGAGTGCTTCATGCGTCTCCGGAAGTAGTGGGTAACCGTGAATCAGCCAGACGGCCTGCATGGAGGCCGCAAGGAGGCAGCCCCTCCACCATGCAAAGGCACAACAGGCCAATCACCTGTTTGCCTTAAACCACGATTACAAGTAACTACAGAGAGAAAACCGGACGGATCTTAACGGCGACGAACTGGCATGGCTACGATTTATGGAAGATGGAATATAAGAGGCATTAATGGAAGGGAAAACGAGTTAGTAGGGGAGATGAGGGAAGCAAAATTATAAGTCTTGGCTCTGACTGAAACCAAGAAAAAGGGGCAAGGAATCACAGATCACGATGGAAGTATGCTGCTCTACAGTGGTGTCCCTATGACGGAGAGAGCCAAGGGAGGTGTTGGCTGTATTGTGGCCAGGAATCAAGTTAGTAACATCAAGGGATGGAAATTCATCTCAGAGCGAATAATGGTGTTAGATCTGAAAGAAGAAGATAAAATTGTCAATTTTGTCATTGTGTACGGGCCAAATGAAGATGAGCGAGTAGATGTTAAAGAAGAATTCTTTGAACTGCTCCAAAGGACCATAGATGACTGTCACGATGAAATTATCCTCCTAGGAGATCTAAATGCCAGAGTAGGAAATGATCACTCTAGATGGGGTGGAGTGATCGGGAGATATGGTGAAGATGTTTTGAATGATAATGGCAAGCGACTTCTCAGATTCTGCAGGGAACAGAACCTTGTCATTACAAACACAAAATTCCCCCCCACAAGCGTATTCATGCATACACAAGATGTGAACCTTCAAAGAATGAAAAATCCATCATTGACTACGCCATAGTTAGGAAAAGTTCATTCAAGTTTGTGAGAGACGCCAGAGTCATGAGAGGACCAGAGATTGGAAGTGACCACTATCTGGTCACATTAAAGAGAACAACTGAAAGAACTGCTCCAACAAGGCAACACCGACAACCATGTAAGAAACCAAGCAACCAAGAAGGGATGAGGATTAAAGCATACAAGCTAAGAGAGCCAGATATTAAGGCTAGATACCAGGAGCTTATAGTGAAAGCAATAGGAACTGAAGAAGAATCATCAGAGGACACTGAAACCCTCTGGTGCAGATTCAAGAATATCCTCACAGCAGCTGCAGTAGAAGCATGTGGTGAAGTCCCAAGTGGAAGGCGGGGACACAGGACACCTTGGTGGAAGACAGAAGAAGTCAAATTGATAACCTAGCCAGAACACAGCTGAAGAAATAGAAAATATAAACAAATATGTGGCACTCAGAACAGAGACAATATATGTGCTTAAAGCAAAACAGAAATCATGGGAAGCTTTGGAGAAAAGTTGAAAAAATGAAGAATGCAAAGAAAACAATAACTGTTCTACACTTAAGAAGAGGACAGAAAGAGTGCCAAAAATATGGTCATGGGCAGATGGAAAGAATACTTCTCAGAGCTCCTCGGCCTTGAGGGAAGTCATGACCCAGAAATAATGGAATGGACCTCACTGCTGAGAAGGAATTCAACCATGGGGAAGATAACATCAGGATGGAAGAATTGAAGGCAGCTATTGAGAAGATTAAGCTGGGAAAAGCAGCAGGTCATGATGGTATAACACCAGAGATGGTCAAATATATGGGAGTCGAAGGTGAGCGCCTTCTACTGAAGGTTCTCCAGGCAGCCTGGTGTAGCAAAACTATACCAAAAGATTGGGAGATTGCCATCATTATACCTATATTTAAAAAAGGTGATAACAGACAATGTGAAAACCACAGAGGCATATCCCTCCTCAGCGTTCCCGGTAAAAGTTACTCTAGAATTCTTGAGCAGAGACTTAGAAGTCTGGTAGAGCCACAGCTGGACGAGGCCCAATGCGGCTTCAGAGCAAACCGAAGTACTCAAGACCTTATCTTCACATTGAGACAGATGAGTGAAAAAGCCCTGGAATATAATAGTGAGATGCATTTATGTTTTTTGGATCTGGAAAAGGCATTTGACAAGGTACCCTGGAACAAGCTCTGGGACTGCTTGGCAGGGAAAAACATCCCAGCACCCCTAATCAGTGCAATACAGAGTTTCTACAAAAGGTGCAGAAATTATGTAAGAACAGCAGACCAAAAGTCAGAAGAATTTAAGACCACCAGCGGTGTTAGACAAGGTGATATTCTCTCACCTTACCTCTTCATTCTTATGATGGATAATGTCATCAAGACCTGTAAGGAGAAGACAAAGAAGTACTCAGTAGGGTACTGGAAGATGAGACCAATCTGTATATCAGAGCTGGCTTTTGCAGACGATGTGGCCCTGATAGCTAAATCAGAGGCACACCTTCAGTCCAACTTACTTGTCTGGAAGGAAGAGCTCATGAAAGTATGAAAGGGATGACCATCAGTGTGTCCAAAACTAAAAATGAGTAATGCGTTGGAGCAGGTACCGAAAACCATGGCTGTATTAGACTCTTACCGCTCTCTTACCAAAGAGAAATGGCAAAGAGGACGAAAATGGCTGTCTACCGCTCTACCTATGTACCACCTGACCTATGGGTGTGAGTCATGGGCAATGACAACAGCTCACAGAAGCCAGCTGCAGGCCTCGGAAATGAGATACCTGAGAAAGGTGGTCCAAGTGACAAGAAGGGACAAAGTCCGCAATCAGACAATACGTCAAGATCTTGATACCCAGCCCTTACTAACCCGAGTGGATCAGTCACAGTTACGATGGTTTGGACATGTGTGCAGAATGGGAGAAAATCGGCCACCATGAAAAGCATGGGAGGCTAAGAACCAGGGAACCAGACCTCCGGGACGACCCAGGGTGCGCTGGGAAGACAACATCCGACAGTCCCTGACTGACAGAGGACTGGAATGGAACAAAGCCAGAAAGAAAACTGCTGAAAGAGACGTCTGGCGATCTCTCTGGCAAACCTCTACACCCCAAGGTAGAAGAGGAGCGACTAAGTAAGTAAGGAAGCATTTCCTTAGGTCCCTGCGACTTATACTTATCCAGACTCGACTGTACAACATTAATCTATAATATATGTAATATAAGGCATCTAAGGATGGTTGCATATATTTCCCACCTCCTATGACAGAAGAATTTAGATGCACAATTAAGCCAATGATGAACAATCCTTTATCTTCTTCTGCATTTATCCGAATATGTAATTGCGTTGTGCATGTTTACAGCATGGCTGCGATATTTACACCTTCTGGCCAACACATATGACCTCTGCAGGCATCCGTTGACTGAGTTGGTCTTCCCAGATAAATAATCATATAAACAGGTTGATATGAGTGGTTTCAAGGCTTATACTCCTATGAGAGATGACAGACAAGTACAAATGTACTTATTCCTTTTAGTTTTCATGCTATAATTTGAAAACTTTCTCTAAAACATTTTGTTAAAAATTCAGAACTCACATATAAACTTTAAAAAATATATTGGCTTAGATAAGTTTGAAAATGATATCTAACTTTTTAAAGTAATTTACGTTATTGCAAAAGTAATGAAACAACTAAACATTTTCTTACTGGATAGTTGTTTGGATGTTGTAAAACATGAGCCCAGAAATCACCCAGTGATGTTGAATATTGCTGGCATAATGGTCGGAATACAAGCTTATCAGCTAGCAGGTCAATACAAACTTTTTCACCTGTCCTGGATAATGTAAACTTGACAACAGATTGCTCAAAATCATCTGAAGATGCCATAGGCTGAAAAGGAAAAAAATTAATGTTTCTGTTTATATCTTTTTGGTTTAAATCTGAGTAAATTAACCTTTTTACATCAATGGTGCATCAGACAAATGGAGCTAGAATCTAGAACCTATATTAATTACTTAAAAATATCATGCATAGCTACTGAAAGGAATATAATGTTATCATAATTCTGATATTCAGAATGTTTTTAATTTAATGGTGAAATTATTCAAATTGCATGCAAGAATACCTTATGATTCAACCAATCAATTGATAGCTCTTTTGCACCTGGGTCACTGATAGTTTTTAGGTGAACAGGTTTTCTCGTCAACTATTAAAATGTGCCATTGGATAACTATGCATTTCTGGTTTGTTTTTTTTACATCATTTCTTTTTAGACAGTCAGCACTCTGTAGATGATGTGGTCAACTTCACACATACCATCTTTATGTCCCAGGACATTTCCTGATAATAGAATGGGTGAACCTGGAATCTTTCACTCAACCAATCAATAAGGTGGCGTCTCTACAATGAGGGTTGGCTGCAACGATTTCCAACATGCTCTGTCTCTTGTCTTGGTTGTACCCTCTCTCAGACTGTTGTTCGTCCAACTTTTGATTGTGTCTTCCTACTTGTATAGTTGTCTACCTCTTGTTCTCAGTTTCCATCTAATCTGGTTCTTAAAAGAGTGCTATCTTTAATTGTGACCAAAATATTTCATTTTTCTCTTTTAAATAACTCTTTTGCTATTCGCATTCTCTCCGGAACATCTGTATTCGACTGTTTTTGTTTCCATGAAATACGTCCTATTCTTCTATTACTTCTAATAGAAGTTCTATCAATCATAAGACGACAGACTGACGACTGAATTTAATTTTTGGCTATCCTCCGAATAAGGGTCGGTAAAGATGGCGGCCGCAAAATAACCTTTCGAGCCACAGTCACGTGTCAGTTGCGCACTAGCGGTTACGAGCATACAGCGGCTGCTGCTCGTGGGTCCTAGCCATCTAGTTAAGCCCCATTCCACGCCGCATGAGCGGCGAGGGGGGCACGTGGCGGTGGTGGTAGTCGCCGGCGCAAATTGAGACGTGACTGTTCCTCGAAAGGATATTTAAATACCGACCGTTAGTCGGAGGATAGCCCGATTTTCTTTTTTTTTTTTTACTATATCTTTTCTTTATTGTAGCCCTTTAACGTAAACACCGTTTATCTTAGATATTAAAATATGTTTGAATCCTAGCATGGTATCCTGTAAACTGAGTGAACTTAATTTTCAAATAAGAAAATTACAGACTAGAAATGTATAAAATGCCGTGACTTCCACTCAAATGTTTATTTACGTGCGTTGTCAAAGCAACGCATGGGAGAAAACTCTGAAACCACTCGCGTTTCTAAATTAGAGTAACTCTGAGGCAGGCGACCCGTTTTTTCAATTCATAATTATTTTTTTTTCTGTCAGATTCTACAATAAATCCTAACAAGGGTGGCCATTATATTTATAGATTAAAATTTGACATCCCACTAATATTTTGAGCTGAAAACTGGAGATCCCAAGCAAGCATGTTTAGACCCACCCCTAACTTCCTACCCTCCTTCCCCTAAAAAAAAAAAAACTTTTTGTTTGTTAATATTTTATTATCTGATATTAGGAAGCTAATAAATTTTAAGCCATAATGGTACAACTTACGTTTGTCACCCCATCGGCTGCGCGATCTCTCTAGCTGTTCATAACGGCTGTCCTATGTTCTAGGGCAGTGGTTCTCCAACTTTTTAAAGCCGCGACCCTTAATACAGTTCCTCATTTTGTAGTGACCCTCAAACATTACATTATTTTCGTTGCTACTTCAAAACCACGGCCAACTCTTAGATATAAATATACAGCGGGACGTGTTCATAACTACAGTGAGTATATGTTTTCGATGGTCTTAGGCGACCCGTGTAAAAATGGTCGTTCGACCTCCCAATGTGGTCGTGACCCACAGGTTGAGAACTGCTGGAATAAAAATTGACATCACTACCTTTGGCACGTACTCATCAGCGGTCAGGTGGCGGTTTAATTGGCGCGCCGGTATACGACTTTGTCGCCTACCGAAACACTATTTGGGTGTGTCTCCTTTGATCGCATCAACACTGCAGGAGTCATTTTTAGGCATCTGTGTGGCGTGCAATGCTAAGCCATTTTATATTGCACACATAACCTAGTCACAATTATAACCTAAAGCTCCCTCTTCGGGGATGCTGGTTGAACATGCAGATTTGTTCCCGAAAAACACCTACCACCTACTTGTGCTTCGTCCCTTTCTTCAGTAGCCAGCGAAGAGTCGACTTG